CGGGAACCCCATCCCCTAGGGAACCCTCAGCCCCTCTGGAACCCTCAACCCCTCGGGAACCCCAGCCCCTCGGGAACCCTCAGCCCCTAGGGAACCCCAGCCCCTAGGGAACCCCCAGCCCCTCGGGAACCCCCAGCAGCTGCTCTTCTGCCTGTTTCACAGAGAAGGCTGGGGCCCGAGAGGCTGCCTGCTCAAGTTCACGCCACCACACGGCCACCTGCTCCTCCTGGAAGTCTCTCACCAGCTCCTATTTCTTCTTTCACCCAAGGGTTTTGACTAAGTTTTATTTTGTTTTCCAAGTGATTATTACTGTGTTTTACCACATTACGGTCAAAAACATGTAGTACCAAGCTGTTTTTTCCTAGACTTTGCTATGGTTTTCCTGACGCCTAATTTGTTCAGTTCAATTTATATAAATATTCCACTGTCATGGAGTAAAATCTATTACAACAACTTTACTAATCCCACTGTAAACATATTTTACATCTTTATTTTTTCTGCTTGTTCTGCAAATAATTAAATTAACAAATTCCAATACTGCCAGGTTTTTATCCAGTTCTCCTGGACTTCCATCTGTGCTTACTTCATACTGTTCGCTACTGTAAGTTTTCATATAAATATTCATACAAACGGTCACAAGTCATGGTAAGACTGTCGATTATGTGTGAACAGCAACTAAAAATAGGAAAAGCCTTCTCTGTCCCAATTGTTTTTCTTTGAATTCTATGCTTCTGATATTAGTATTAACCCCTGCTTTGTAACTTTTAATTTTTGTTTTGCTCTATCTTAATTTTAACCTTCTAAATACTCCCGTCCACAATATGTCTCTTCTGGACATCGTGTGGTTGGGGTTTTGCTTTCTGTCTCAGTCAAAACAGTGGGGGAGTCCCACTCATTTACGTTTTCACTGTCACACAGACGTGTGTGTTCTGCTGGTTACACCTCCTCCAGTGGGCACCATGCTTTCCTCCCTTCCCTGCCCTTAAAGAGCAGAAAGTGCACATCCGTTCACAGTTCTGAAGTTGGGTACATTTTTTTTTTTAAGCTTATTTTGCTAACTGTCAGCTTCAAGAATAAAAGTTTCTCTTTTACGTTGAGAAAATATTCTCGGTTTGAGGGGGGAGCCTCAGCACTCAATAGCAACCCAATGGCAACAGTGCTGGATTTTAGACCCTATGTCCACTTTTCAAAGCGTTCAGACTACGCATTCCCTAAGAACCAACGGGTGCGCTGCACTGAACCGCGGCGACCCCGCGAAGCCACAGTGCTTACACGACTCGACTCCACCAGCAGTCCTGCTGCTGCAGCTTCTCTACTCTTGGACCTATTACACCACATCCCGAAACCCAGGAGGTCCCCAAACCCAGGTTTCTCCCAAGTTGGGTGCCAAAAAGAATGTAGCAGCAACACGCGACCCAAAAGCACGTGAAGACACTTCACAGTCTTACTGACTCACTTAAGTGAACGCGTTTCACTAAAAAGCCAACACCAGAACTAGGGGTGGTGAGAAATACAGAGTGTGTGTGCCACACTCCCACCCTAAAACGCAACACGCTCTGAATCCGGAGCACAGCAGCGTGGGCTCACACGCATGAATCTGCTTCCCGGCACGGCGTCCAGAGGCAGCAGCGCCCTGGGGCAACAGGCAGCAGCACAACCTGCACCCAGCGTGGGAACGGACGCCCTGAGAAGCGGCTGCTCCAGGGCTGGGCCTGGTGGTGCCAACAAGTGAGGGGCGTGCCCGGCAGGAGGGCACAAGAATCCACCAGAAGAGCGGCCAGCGGCCAAGTCAACACGGAAGGGATCGATCACAACCAGCACCAGTGACGTTACGCTGAAGGACGACGTCAGCGTCTTCCAGCCTGTACTGATACAGCATCGATTATAACCAGCACCAGTGACATTACGCTGAAGGACGACGTCAGCGTCTTCCAGCCTGTACTGATACAGCATCGATTATAACCAGCACCAATGACGTTACGCTGAAGGACGACGTCAGTGTCTTCCAGCCTGTACTGATACAGTATCGATTATAACCCAGCACCAATGACATTACGCTGAAGGATAACGTCAGTGTCTTCGAGCCTGTACTGATATAACTGACTGGACTGATAAGGGGAGAGAAGGGACAACTCTCCCTTCCAGAAAATTCTAATTAATACACGCACAGGTGGAGGGAAATGGAAAATCACCGTTAGACCACCACAGTGATGACAGCACAGGCCAAGCTGTCCTCACCTGCGGACAAGCAGGCGGGTGAGGAGAACGGACCTGGCACAGCGTGGGACCGGGCTAACCTCGCCCCGTGGCCCAGCCCCTGGGAAGGAGTCTCGAGGCCTCTGGAGCGCGCCATCTGGCAGACAGGCCCCTTCAGACAGTCTGACAATGTGACTCGGGGTGGCAGCCTTGGGCCACAGGGGCAGCTCGGCCTCCAGAGGGGGTGGGGCCGTCAGCACTGACCACAGCGCCAGGGACAGGGCGGCTGGCAGCTTCGCTGGGAGTGTCCTCTGCCTGCAGCCAGCTGTACTGTGTGTCCCTTTGCTGCGATAATGCATAACCATGGGTTCTGAGCCCTTCTAGAGAATTCGTGAACCCAGAGAGTCACAGGGACCCTCACACTTGCTGGAGGTGTGAGAGTGCGGTAATCCTGCAGGTCTGCACTCCAGCCCAAAGTAGCCAGCTCAAAACAGACATTTATCCCTACAAAGGGAAAAGCAGGGACTTCACCATGGAGGACACAGCGGACCCCACCTTAACCAAGGGGCCAATGTCAGCTTTGCCCCAATAAGTTTACTGCATGGACCCCGACAAGATGCAGGGACAAGGGCACCTCACTTTGGGCCCCCCAAAACACACAGCCTTGGTCCAATCAAGAGAAAGCACCAGACAGACCCGAAGGGAGCGACGCCCTGGACTGAAGGGCCAGCATCTCGACAGGAGCATCTGGAAGGTCGAGGGGCAGCACAGAGGAAGAGGCCGAGGGGCTGACCCAGGACCCTGGGTAGAAGAGGGCCCTAGGGGACCGCCACGTGCACGTGAGGCCCGAGCCCATCAGTGGCCCGTGGCCCTGGTCCTTCCCCAGCTTTGCGGACACACATGATCTCGGACCACGTCCACACGAGGGAGGGTGGGTGAAGGGCACCACAACTGGGGACAACACACATGGAAGCGTGTTTCTGCAAGTCTAAAATGCCCCCAAAGTAAAGGGTCAGGGAAACACACAGCTGGCCCCGAGGGTTCTGGAAAGGGGCTGCGGGTCTCTATTTATCTTCCCCCACCTCCTGGCTGTTACGGGACACAAGAGGGCTTTCCAGGTCACGCGGGGCAAAGGTGAGCGAAGGTGAGCCTGCACACCCCAAGAAGAAGCTCTTACCCTGCCGTCACGTGTGCAGGCTGCACACTGGACGGGTTCCAGATTTCTATTTCCCTGGAAAGTCGATAGTCAATGAGCGTATAAAGTACCCTGACCACCCCTGGAGGATGCAAAGAAACCAGCTAGCTCGTTATTTTGAAAACTGATTAAGAGAAAAGTGTAGACATTTCTGCTGACTTTCCTGTATGAGCAGAAGTGTTCTAGCTTGAAATGGGAAAGACATCAGCGTCCTCCTACAGCCTGATAATGAGCAGTCCAGACCCGGGGCGTCCGCGGCTGGGCTGGCCGTCAGGGCCCCACAGACTCTAAGTCGAGTCAGAGCAAAGCCTCCAGCCGGAGTGCCTGGTTTACAGGAAACACGGAGACAGTGACCTGTTACCCTGAAGCGTCAGACCCGCCAACCTGACGGGGCAAACTGCCCAGCCTCCAGCGCACACACGTATGCACACACACGCACACGCACACACACACGGGCGGGGCTACGAGTGTGAAAGAGACCCCAGACCTGCAACAACCAACAGGAAATACGGGCCTTACTCGGGTGATTAGAATAAACAGTCATAAAAGCATTCGTGGCATCTGAAACGACTGAAAATGGGAACGCCGGCTAGGTGCTGACTTTAAGCAAACACGTGCTGCTAACTCCGAAAGAGGTGATGACAGTGCCTGGAATGTTCTTAAGTGTCCTTGTTTTTAAAAAGATAACGCTGAAACATTACAAAAACAATGAAAACAAAACTGTCTCTACGGATGCCGCCCCAGAGCAGCTCCACTTCCACGGAGCTGAGGCCCCGGTCCCTCACCAACTGTGCCCTCATGGATGCCACCACCACCTGCCACCGCCATCTCTGAAGCCCCCCCCACAATAACCCCCCTCCCCGCCCCGGCCTTCGGGAACCGCAGGGCGGGCCCTCCTCGGCACGAATGCCGGCAGGGCCCACGCTCACCAGGGGGCACTATTTACCGCCCCAGAGAGGAGGGCGCTACCATTACGTGAAATAAGACACTGTCACGTTAAGAAAAAGATGTAAACTAGGATACTGCTAATCCTACATACCTTTCGATGTTTTAAAATATATTTTAGATAAATGTTTTTTATACGATGAAATCTACAAAATAACGTTATTTGAAGAATTCAACATCACCTTCACGAAAGGACTGACTCAGTTTCCCTTAAGCACTGTGCCCACTACCCCATTTTCAGGATGGACGGAGGAGGTCACAAACTAGCAGGTCCTGTCTAGTGTTCCTTCTTTAAATTCAAACAAGATGCCGACACTTTAAAATCAGAAGCGTGCCTGCACTGGGGATCCACAGCGCCACATGCCCCCTGGGGGGCTCCACGAGACGCGCCCGGCCCCCTCCCCGCACACAGCCTCACCTGTGTGGCTCCCAGCTCCTCTCTGCTTTTTTTCCTTGGCTAGTTGAATGGCTCGGGAATCAGTTCTTGCTGAGCCCCCGCCTTCCTGAGACCAAAGAAAAGCGTATCAGTCACGGGACCCAAACAGTAGAGGGAGGGGAGCGGGGGACCTACTGAGCGCGGGGTCTGCTTCCTGAACAGACCCCAGCAAAGGCTCAGAGAATCAAATACCACATCCAGTGACAGCGACAGCTGCACGGACTTTGAGTTGGAACCATATACGTGATTTTATTATCCAGAGAAGCAAAGTTTATTCCTTCAAAGTCTAAAACATACTAAAATATTTTACACAGAAAGTGAACTGCAGGCCACTCTGCTGTCTGACACACGGAACCAGTGTGTCCTCAGTGACCAGGACTCACTGACTGCGGCCCCTCCCCGGGTTGCAGGACGTGTCACACCATGCCCGCTGGGCCACCCCGGGGGCCCCGGGCCGTGTGCCCCATGGAGGCTGCTCAGGGCAGCTGCTCCACTCGGGGTCCCACCCGGCAAAGCAGAGCGGTAAGTGCATCACTGAACCGGGGCGTTTTCCGAGGGACCTGACGTACGCACACGGGACTGGGAGCGCCGTAGCCCTGCGGACACACTGCGAGGACACGGTGGAACCCCCATCCCCACAGAGAGAGGCTCGGGCGTACCTGCGGCCCCTTCGCCACGCGCCTTCTGGGCTCACAGACGCCAGGCTGGCCCACGTCACACAGCTAGTGAGAGAACGGACAGGGTCAGGGTCAGGGTCAGTCTCGTGCTCCGCCGGCCCTCGGCCACTGCCGCGTCCGTCACAGAGAACGCCGATTCAAAGGAGTAACTTTTCTTTATATCGCGGTAAAATAAGGTTTAACTGTCTGAGCGTGAGCGTCGCCATCACATTTAACCTGCACCACAAAGAAAAACCTACTCGGTCACCCCCCCGAGGCTGAGGCAAGACGCTCTCTTAAGAATCTCTCATTAAGTTACTTTAAATTATATTAAATGTATGACTGACATAAATACAGTTAAAACATATTAACTGCCAAGTCTCGCAATTGGAGAAGTGCTCTCATAACCCTCCAGAGACAAAGGCTCCCAGACCACTCCCTTTTTTTGTTGTTAATTCAAATTAAAAATTTTTGCATGGTTTTAGTTTCCGTTAAGCCTTAAGAAACATTTGATGTCACAATTCCTCTTGGCCACAACTCCATCTGAGGATCTGCTATTACGTGATAAGCTCAAATGCAGAACGTTTCAACATTATGAAATACCTCAGCTTTTTTCAAGAAAAGACACGTTATCACCAAATCACAGAACTCAAAAAGACCTTAGAAATCATGTAGCCAAAGCCCCTCATTTTAGAAATAAGCGAGAATTTAAGGCTCAGACACGTTAAGTGATTTGCTCAAGGTCATAAAAACCAGTCCGTTCCAGACTCGAGACTGGAGCTCAGATTTCCAGACTTGCAGGCGGGAGCTCCATCCTTCCGCAAACCCCTAAGAAACGTCTGCACGCAGATTGATCCAGAACACCGCACGACGGGTGTGAGACGTGACCGAACAGAGCGCTTCATACCAAGTAGAAGCCGCCGGTCCCTGCACCAAGTCCCGCGTCTTTCCGAGGTCCGAGCTCCTCTGCAGGGCTGGACTCCACAGGCCGCGGCGCCCCTCCGCTCCACGCCTGCTGTCTGACGGCGTCGGGGTCGGGGGCCGAGTCTGGTTCCACTTTGATGGGAACCAGCAGCTCCGGGGCACTGCTGTCTCCCTGGGGGCCGCTCGCAGAGGTCAAAGCCTGGGGGTCCTGACTCAAGCTCTTCATGGGCAGAGCCACCAGACAGCCCAGCGCCCCTGGGTCCACGGCCTGCACGTCACCTGCAGCGAGGTTGCCCTGCTGGAGAACCGTGGCTGCCGTCCCGAGGACGAGGGGCCTGTCCGGGCCCAGTGGGACGTCACTGTGGGCCACCAAGACCAGGGGGCCCATGGGCCCTGAGGCAGCCTGACTGGCAGGGAGGCCCCCCCCGAGAGAGGCGCTCACAGAAGTCACGTCGACAGTCAGGATTCCAGTGCGGAGCGCCTCGTCGGAGGTCCTGGGGGCACCACCGCTGTCGCCAGGCGTGTCGGAGAAGAGGACCGCCAGGTCCACGCTGCTGAACTCACTCTGACCGGGGCTGCTGAGGTCACTGCTGGGCGCGAGCGCGCTTGGAGCTCCCAGCGGAGGGAAGAGGTCTGAAAAGGAAGGAACACTCTGGTGACCTCAGGCCCTCAGAGACCAGGGAGCTCTGTATGTGCTCAAGACGTGAGCAGGCGGCCACCGAGGGGACAAGGATGGTTCTTCCTGCCGCCGGTGCCTGGCCCTGCAGGCGGCCACGCTCTGCAGCGAGGCACTGTGGGGGACACGCCCGGCGCCCTGTCCACGCTGCCTGGAGCCTCGAGCCCACAGGCATCTCCCCAGACGACGGGCGTGACCTGGGTCAACGACGCTCCCCAAAGTCACACCGCCCAGTGACGGAAGAGGCAAGACTCAAACCCAAGTCCTCCTGGCTTCACACCCTGAGCTCACGCCACCACGAGCAGCCACCCTAGGAGACCAAGCACCCTCGCGGAGCAGACACCTGCAGGCCTCGGGCCACGCTGAACCCTGGCTCCCTGACACTTCTGGCATCAGCTATGTGGGCCCACGTCCCATCCAGCTCTCTGCCCACTTCGCGACAAGCAGCTTCTCCAGAACGAGAGGGCGCAAGGGCAGGGACGGACAGTGGGGAAGATCTGGGCTGCCGGCCCGCCTGCCTCTGGGCTGGAGCAGGGCGCCCCAGGGAGCTGCGGAGAGCGCAGGTCAGACACCACACTCTGCAGGCCTGGCCGTGGCCTCCTGGATGGAGCTGCTCCGTTTCCAGGCTCCACCGCCCCCACTGCCGCGGGTCCCAGCGTCTGTGCCCCTCAGCGGCAGACACAGGGCCTGGCCCTCAACAAGCCGCCCTCGTTCACTTCATTGCTGCCGCAGCGCTCTCCCAAAACTTGATTATTTGTTATTCAATTAAGATTTTAAGTAATCAGATTACCCTTGGGAGAATACTGAACACTAACGCACTGTAAAGAAGCTTCAATGAATGTTCAAGTTGACGGTTCATACACAGGAACACCCGATCACCCAAGCCCTAGGGCTCACCAGGCCCAAGCAAACAGGAAACGGAAGCACAAAGGACTGGGGCACAGCTGCCAGACGAGGCCTTGGCCGCCCCTCTCCTGCGGCTTCCGACACCCAGGCCCAGCCAGAGGGAAAGGCGCCCCCAGGCCTGGCACCATCCCTGCCTCCCAACCCTGAGCTAATCCCAAGCTCACACTGTCCGGCTGTGGACCCACGTCAAGGTGCCTGTGATGCTTCCACTGTGAACCTATGAAAGAAACGTACTCTAGCCGCCATCCCCCCAAAAGTAAATAAACGACAACCAAATTCAGAACCTATCACCTGCAGCTGTCATGCTGCTTCAACGTTTAAGAACTGGATCAATCTACCATTGCTTCAATAGTCACCTAGTACCAAGGAAACATTCTGAAAGGGCAGTGACCCTCTGAAATAATTAAAACTGGAAACATGTCTCTTTTTCAAAAGTTTCCTTGATAACCTTGATGATTCAGCTCCCTATGAGAAAATCAATAATAATCTAGGCAAACAGGTACCAGTGTGCTCATCAATTTCCTGTTAGCATTTTGCTGATTCCACAAATGTTTACTGGAGACCTGCCAACGTGCAAGGGTCAACATCCAAAAATCATTAAACGAACGTCTGCGCAGAGCGTCCAGCACCAGGCCACACCACGGCCTCACCCCAGCACCTCCCTGCCGACGCGAGCCCCAGCTGGGCCCAACGTGAGGGGGGCCCGCGCAGCTGCCCACAATAAACAGATGCTCCCAAGCTCCTAGTTATCAGGAGGCGAGCCTGGGACCCCGTCACACACCCGACACGAGACCACGTCACATCATAAATGCCCGGCCTGGGCCACCCCCCGTCACCTACCCCACGCAAGACCACGTCAGATCATAAATGTGGGGCTTGGGATGCACCCCAGTCACCTACCCGACACGAGACCGTGCCACACCGTAAACGCCAGGCCTGGGACGCACACCCCCGATCACCTACCTGACACGAGCCCGTGTCACAGCATAAATGCAGGGCCTGGGACCACCCGCCCCCGTCACCTACCCAACACGTGCTTCATATAGTGGTGCCCCTCCCAGGATCACAGCGGGGAAGCGGCTGTGCCTGAGGCTGGGCAGGCCTGGCACAAAGGTGGCACCGAGCGGGGCCTGGCAGCAGCTGCTCAGGTAACTACAGCTAGGACTTCACCCTCCAGGCCCTGCCAGGAGCAGCAGGCCTGCCGGGCCGCAGATCACGGTGCTGGGACGGCTCTAGGGAGAGGCAGCCGCCGGGCCACCCAGACCCTCAGGCCCGCCCAGGGGCCGGTGCACGGGGCAGGATTCTCAGTCCCAGGCCCCCAGGTAGCAGGACGGCCAGGTCCGTGTGCCCAGAGTCGCCCCTCTGGGCTCGTCGTGGTTCGCGCTCTGCCCCCAGAACGTCCAGGAACAGCTCTGTCCTGTCTCCAAGGACTCTCCCAGGCACTGGGGTGGACAGGAGGAGCTGAAGGAGCCGGACGCAATGGGGGGCAGGCTTGGAATACAGGACGAGGTCACAGGGAGAGACTCAGAAGCCAGGCTACGAGGGCCAACCCCGTGGAAGCCCCTCAGAGACGAGGGCGGGCGAGAGGGTCAGAGGCGGGAAGCGGCAGAAGAGAGGCCACGGGGGCCACGCAGCGTGGCAGCTGCGGTCCCTGCCACGCGTCCCGTGGACTCTGGGCGCCCTCGGGGCCGTGAGCGGGGCCGACCTGGGTGCCGGTGGTGCTGCCTGATCACGTGGGCCTTCACGCTGTGCTTGGAAGCAAAGAGCCTGTGGCAGCTGGACACCGGGCACCTGCTCTTCGTAGCGGCCACGTCCTGCAGGTGCTTCTTGGAGTGGATGTAAAGGCTGCTCCGCGCGGAGAACCTGGCACAGCACCCTGGGCAGACAGAGGGACACGTGTTAGCCTGAGGGTCCCCGTCCCCGCTCTGCCCCCCACAAGCGCCCTCGGGCAGCATCACGAGGAAGCCTGAAGCCCCGCATCGGCCGCAGACAGGACGCGTGACCTGCACAAGCAGGCTGACCACCTCCACTAAGCTGCTACTGGAAGAAAACCTGCGACCCCGTGACATCTGGGGCTGGAGACCACCCCAGAGACCCGCCACTTCCTCTCATTACGCCCCTGAGAAGCTGTTGCCCAGACGGGCCGAGCAGATGGCCGGGAATCGAGGCAGGAGGGGAGCCCGGAGTTGGCCCTGCCCAAGTCCGCAGAGCAGACACACACCCGGGGCAGACCCAGAGATACAGCCGCCCTCCTTCATGCCCCGATGTCCCACTGCTGGAGCTCGGCACGGCAGGGTCACAGGAGGGAAGAGGGGTTCCTGACGGCCATAAGCTCGTCACCTGGTCGGGACACATAAGCAGCCGGCTGTCCTAACACAGGCGGACTAAAGCCCGGGGTCAGGCTGCCCAGCGTTCCGAGAGCAGAGGAGGGAAGGTCTCAGGAGACAGGTCACGTCTGAGGTGCCGGGCGGCGTGGCCACCACAGCAAGGAGGTGCGGCCGAGGGGCTGCCAGGCCACCCGTGTACGGCCGTCTCGACCCCCTCTGTAAAGCGGGGCCTCCACGGTACTCAGGACGCCCAGGAAGGATGCCACTGCGCTATCACGCTACAGCATGTCAGGGAAGGCGACGGGGTCGCTGGGGGCCGGAGGAGGGCTACTGCAGGAAAAGAGGCTACGCAGAGAGGAAACGGCCACGGCAGTAAGGGCTCTGCTACCCCTGAGAGCAGTTCTGAACTGATTTCATTTTCAAACAAAACTTCACACCTGTTTGCCAGGTCAGGCTCAGGACAGGGCACTTGGGAAAGACAACAGAGAAGAGACATCTCTGGTCTTGCCCCCGGGGGCCCTGTCGCCACGCGTGCTCCACACCCCCTCCCAGCTGGGACCCTCACAGAGACTTCCAGGCTTATCGCACAGCCTTCCCGAGGGCAGGGTCGACCACCACAGGGACGTCACCATGCTGCCGCCAGCAGAGTTTCTACTTGTAGAGATACTTGCGAATTCAACAGGGAACAACGCAGGTATCATTTTAATTTGTATTTCCTTTGATGATCAGAAGTATGACCATTTTATCATGTGTGTCAACGACTACGTTTTCCTAATTACAACATAATCTATTGAGACTTGTGTTATTGCTTTACAAATTAAGGATATTCACAGACAGCCCCACACATTTCTACCACGTTACCACCCCGCCAGGGGAAGGGCAGAAGCAACTTGTCAAAGACAGACTTCCCTCCAAACCCCAGCTCCTCAGGAGTCTGCCCAGCTCGCACCCACATTCCGTGGGCTCCACGGCAGGCTGGAGGCCCAGAGAAGCCCCACCAGGCTCACACCGCCCTCAGGCCGCCCCCGTCCACACTCGCTGCCGTGCTGCACTCCCCATCCTCTCCTCCTCCTGCTACTACTACGGGAACGGCGGGGAGTGGCGGCTTCTTAACTTCTTATTAAGAATGTTCCAAACGCCTACAAAACCAGAGAAGATGGTGAAGTCACCCAGACTCAAGAGCTGTCAGCTCTCAGCAAGTGTGACAAAGGATTCTGGGATGCCTCCGCCAGCCCGCCTTCACCGCCATCCCCTTGACCAAGCGCTGCCGGTCACCCTCTATGTCAGACCTGCGCAGAGCTCTCAAGGATGCACTTACCAAAAGGAAAATCCTGCCTCCTCCGTCGCCAGCCCTGCCCCTTCCTCTTTGCCTCAATCCCCTCAAGAAGGAGGGAAGCCTCGCCCCGCCCCCCCCCCCCCCCCCCCCCCGCCGGGGGTCGGCCCCCCCCCCCCCCCCCCGCAAGGTCTCTCCAGCCGCCCGGGCCCCTCAGCTCCTCCTCGCACCGGCCCACTTGCCTCCTTTCCCAAACTTGGTGTTCTCTTGGCCCAGTGCCCACCTGGCCCCTCGCGTCCTCCTCAGGCCCCTCCCGGGGCGCCCTCTGCTTGCCCACCCGCACGCAGGGCAGTTCCCAGGGCTCCACCTGCCGGCAGCGGCAGGTTACTGATGTCCTCTCGGCCCTTAATTAAACTCCCTGACCAGCTGGGCCCCCACCAGCCCCATTGGACAGAAGCAGAGAAGAGGCAGGGCTGGGAGCCGCACGCAGGCGCCTTCGCGGCACCTGTCCCGCCCCCAGCCCGCTTCTCAGGCCCCAGCAGCACCTGCGCCGCCTCCCGAGCATCTGTCAGCAAAGCCCGCGGGCTCCTGGAACGCAGCGCGTCCGCACCCACCTCCTGCCTGTGCTCCGTGTCCCCGTCTCAACTGAGACGCTGACCCAGCCGCCACCCCCTCCACAGCACCCGCTCCTGAACCCTCGCCAGGCACCATGCATTCTAACTCGCGCCTCTGCTGTCTACGCCGTCCCTCCCTTCCCAGCGCCTGCCCAGGCACCGGCCCATCTGCCCAGGACCCCAGACTCAGCCTAAACCTTCACTGTGGCCCCATCACCCCGCCTAGAGCCCTCAGCCTGCTGCCCACACCGGCCCTTCTGCCTCCACCGCCCCTGCCTACCGGGAGCCACTCCCCCACCCCAAGAACCCTCTGGGTGACCTCCTCTGTGCGCCAAGCACCCTGCACATTAGCTGCGCACCTGTGGCCCCAACCGGAGCCCTGGGGAGAGGCGGGCCTGTGTCTGATTAGACCACCTGGGCTACATTCCAGAAACTGCTCAGCTGGAAGTGGGTCTTTGGTATCCCCTTCTCCAGGTGAGGAAACTGAAGCCCAGAGAGCCTTGCCTGAGGTCACTGATTCAGGGAGGGCGGAGCCAGCGTTCAACTTCACAGCCCGAGGGACCCGGCCCGCCGTCCCGGAATCGCGCCTCTAAAACGCCAGCCCGGCTTCACTGCTGTCCAGTCCCAGCGTGAGGAGCCACGGCTACGGAGTCCGAGACACGCGCCACGTGCCGAAATGGGCTTTCTTCACACGTTCCGTCAGTGGATCCTCACAACCGTCAAAGCCAGAGGGGACTCAGCAGAGCGCCCCCGCAGGGCCCAGCCCCGCGGCCTCACTCTGAATCTGCTCTTTCCAACACACTGCTCCCAAGACCCGGCCACCGGCTAAAACCAGCCAAGCCCACCTCACGGTGCAGTTGACACGACGCACCTCGAAGCAACTTCCACGCGTAGCGTCCAGGCGGCCGTGGGGCCGGCTCACACCTACCTTCCACAGGACACGCGAAGGGCTTGGTGCCCAGGTGGGTGACGCTGTGGCCCTTGAGGTGCTCGGCCCTGGTGAACGACTTCCCGCAGCCCTCGACGGGGCAGGGGAAGCGGCGGTCCTCATCGTGCTTCCTGCGGGACAGAGAGCAACAGGCAGTGACCACTCACAAGCAGAGCGTTCCATTCAGGAGGAGCAGCCTCCCAGAGACCCTGATGAAGCCGCTTCCGCCGCTCAGCAACCCCGCTCCTACACGGGCTGTCCACACCGCAGGGGATACCACCTCACACACACACAGCCTTATTCTAAGTAGACACCTCAGATCCCAGCTGGGCAAGTACAGACGAACCACCCAACCTCCCTGGCTCCCAATGCAGAACAGGACAAGGGGCTTCCCTGGTGGTACAGCGGCTAAGAACCTGCCTGCCGATGCAGGGGACATGGGTTCAATCCCCGGTCTGGGAGGATCCCACATGCTGTGGAGCAACTAAGCCCATGCACCACAACTACTGAGCCTGTGCTCTAGAGCCCGCGAGCCACAACTTCTGAGCCCATGGGCTGCAACTACTGAAGCCTGCGCACCTAGAGCCCGTGCTCGGCAACAAGAGAAGCCACCACAAAGAGAAGGCCACGCACCACAATGAGAAGCGCCTGCTCGCCGCAACTAGAGAAAGCCTGCACGCAGCAATGAAGACCCAACGCAGCCAAAGATAAAATAAATAAAAATAAATAAATGTATAAAACAAAACGAAACAAAAACAGGAGAACAAGAGCTTCAGTGTCACAGCTGCTGAGAGGCCAAACAAGGGACACAGGCCAGGCGCCGAGTGTCACCTGCACAGAGGCCCAGTCCTCCAAGGCGTCATCACTGCCGCCGGAAGTTTGTAAAGACACGACGAAGCCTTAGTCTATAACCTTAATTTTTTTTAAATATCAAATTGCATATTAAGTATACCAGTTAAACTTAAAAACAAGTACACACAGAAAACACTGATTCTGGGGGATCAGATTCTGTGTGGTTTTCTTACAAGGTTTCTGAATTTTCCAAGTTATCCACGTTGGTTTGTTTTTTATAACTTAAAGAAATCCAAAGATTATTCCACCCATAGGCTTCTACTACTAACAAACAACTCACCTGTTTTCAAAACTGATAGTTCAACCAGAACGTAAAGATTACCTTTTGTGCCTCAGGAGCTTAGACATGCTGGTGAAGGTCCAGCCACAGCTGTCAGAGTCACAGATGAAAGGTCTCTCGCCTTAGGAAGGAAAAGAATCACACCACGTGATTACACACGTGAGCTGCGCCGGCGGCAGAGGGGGTCCAGGCGCCCCCGGCTTCTCACCTGTATGGCTCCTCAGGTGGATCTTCAGACGACAGGCTTTGTCATACTGTTTGCTGCATCCAGGGAAGGAGCAAGAAAAGAGTTCCTGTTCCCTGAAGTGGGCCCGGTTATGGGAGAACAGAGCGCTCACTGTGATGAACGTCTTCTCACAGCCTGAACAGAGAAAACACAAATCCTGCTCACTGGCGTGACGAGAATCGCCACCCCAGGGCGCTGCGTGCACGGGGGCAGACGCGGAGGACGACGACTGAGGAGCATCTCCAGACAGTGAAAGCCTTCGCAGCGAAAGCAGCAGCCCACGGGTGCACACAGGCCACCTGTCCCCATGTGACCGGGAGACACAGCACCGGATCAAGAGAAAGTCCTCCAGCACAGCTGTGCCCCCAGTTCTGTAGCTCAGACCCTGTGGACACGGTGGGAACTCAACTGCCCAGGTCACCCATGTGAGCCCAGAAACCCAACGAGAGAACTCAGAGACTAAGGAACAAGATTCCACCTGGTCAGGCTGAGCTTGGAAGGGCTGCAAACGACTGCAGTAACACCTGGGACTTTTTCACCTGTGAGAGTGAGGCCGCATCCCCCACCCTCGTAAACGTCCCCTGGACGTCCTTGGCAGCTGGCAGCCCGGCCTCTGACAGCGCGCTTCTCTCTCCCTTTGGTCCATTTCCTGGGGGTTCCCTGCTCTGTCAAGGGTCACTGGGGTCATCTTCGCTCACATGGCCTTTTTCCACCACCTGCATCGTCAACCCCGGCTGAGCCACCAGACTCTGCACATCACTAGTTCTCCTTTGACAGGTTCAGTGCTCAAACAGGGCAGAAAACACGAGGCTACGAGACGCTGACCAGGAGTCTGCGCTGCAGCGCTTCTCAGAGCCTTTACGGTGCTGCCAGGTACGCACAGCACTCTGCAGGACAGCGCAGGGAACCCCACTTTTCACAGCGACACGTAACCGGGAAACGCTGACCTTCCTGAATGCCTTCCAAGCCTCCTCTCGGGCATCAACCTGTCTGTGCCCAGCAGCCCCAGCCATTCCTTACTTCGGACCTAGGTGCCTTCCCACACTCCGGCAGGGAGGTCTGAACAGGCTCAGCAGGAAGCACCTTCCCCCAACCCACAGTCAAGCCTCCCGGCCCAGCTCTGCAATCCTTCCCACTGGAGCCTCCTCAGCGCCCCACTGCGTCTACCTGGGTCACCCCTCAGGACCCTCCGGTCCGGAACATTCACGCAGCTTCCCTGGTCCCTCTCCTGCTCCCGCCCACCTCAAACCAACACCCCGCGTACCATTCACCTCAAAACCCCCAGGGTGACCCCGTGCCCAGAAGCAGGCTGGACCCCGGTGCTCCTGGGCTCAGAAGGATGCCCCCGAGCTTTTTACTAGAGGGCGGTCCGGAGACCGCCGCCAGATTCCGAGTGCAGGACCAAGCGTTCGGAATCAGTGGCCTACAGCCATGCTCTCCACGGAGACGGGGTGCACAGGACAGGCCAGGGCACGTGGGAAGAAAACACGGGAACCTGGTAACATGTGAATTTTCTTCCGCCCTTTCAAAAGCCCACACGTGACTGCACTTCATAACATACATTCTAAGGAGCGCACTCCGCGTCCATGACGCATCAACAGGGTCGCCGGGCACACACTCGCGCTTCTCTTTTAAGGAAGGGCACCTGGGAGGCCCTCGGGCACCCTGCCCCCAGCCCGCCCCACTGCCCCCATTCCCAGCCTTAGCTCTGCAGCGTGGCCCCGGCACCGCAGCCCCTCCTTCCCAGGCGGGAACCTTCTCTCGTGCAGACACACACTCCCCCCGAGAGCAGCTAGAGCTGCCTATCCCGGTAGAGAGCTCAGGGCACTCACAGCAGAGAAAGACCCCTCCGCCCACAGCATCCACCTGCCCAGAGTCTCTCCGTCTGAAGATAAGGACGACTTTCAGAACTTTACGCAACTGTGAAGCCCGAAGGAAACAACGCTTTCAACGTCACAATAGTGGATGCACCGCACCTCCGCGATCATCCCCTCGGCGCCTTAAGGCCTCGCCTGGGCCGCGTGGCCCTGCGTCCCTGCAGCCCGGGGCACGCGCCTACACGCCGGACGGAGCTTTTCTAAGTGACGAGACCTGCCTCAAACATCCCGTCTCCGGGCCCCGCCGGCGCCGCTCACCGGGAAAGTCGCACTTGTAGGGCCGCTCGGGCTCGAAGTGGCTGCGCTGGTGCGAGCTGAGCTTGGCGTGCGTGGGGAAGCGCTCGGCGCACACCTCGCACTTAAACAGGCTCTCCTGCTCGTGGCCCTTCATGTGCGCCCTGAGGTTGTACACGGTGGTGAACTTCTTGCCGCAGCCGCCCACCGGGCAGCCGAAAGGCCGCAGCTTGTCGTGCGACTGCAAGTGCCGCTTGAGCTTGTACGACGTGGTGAAGGCCCAGCCGCAGCCGTCCAGCGGGCACTTGAAGGGCCGCCGGCCCTGGCCGCCGCCGTGCGTCAGCAGGTGCACCTGGAGCTGGTGCTTCTTGGCGAAGGCGAGCGCGCACTGCGGCTCGGGGCAGCGGTAGCCGGGGCCGGCGGACGCGCGGCGGGCCCCTGCCGGGCTGGCGGCCTCCTGGCCGGGCGGCGGACGCCGGGACGGCGCGGCCAGCGCGAGGACGCCACGCTCCAGGTGCACCAGCAGGTCCTGGCCGCCGGCGGCCCGGGGGCCCACGAGAGGCGCGGCGCCGGGGACCTGCGCAGGGCGGCCGGCCGGGCTCGCGGCGGCGCCGGGCTGGGGCTCGGTCTCCCGCCGCCCCGGGGCTTCGGCCGCGCCGCGCGCCACTTCCAGCAGCACCACGAAGGAGTCGCCGCCGCCGGGGCCCGCCGGCCGGGCCTCCCCGCGCCGCGGCCCCTGCGCGCCGTCCTCTGGGTCCCGCAGCAGCAGCAGCCGGCGGTGCGCTGAGCCCGGGGTTCTGCGGGTCCGGCCGGGGCCGCCGCCGAGCTGGGGTCCGCGTGGGGCCGGGGCCGCAGCGGCGAGCAGCGCCGGCGCGTCCATCTTGGGCCGCTGCGCGTCCAGCCACCGCCTCGCCGGAAACGCCACCCCGCACGCACGCACGAGGAGCGCGACGCCGTGCGCTACGCACGCGAGTCGGCGCCAAAGCCCGGCGCGGAGTGCGACCCGGCGCGCGCCGGAGCGGGGCCGAGGCGCGCGTCAGAGGCGGCCCGAGGCGCGCATGCGCGGAGCGGCGGGCGGGGCGCGGGGCCTGCCAGGCCGCGTGACGTCAGGGCTCCGCGCGGTGGGCGGTACAGGGTGGGTAGCTAGCGGCTGGGGTTACGCCCCCGGCCGGGTCGCGCGGCGGAACCGGCGGAACCGTGGGTCGGGGACGGTCCGGCGGCTTGTAGCTCTGAGCGGTCCTGCCGCCTCAGTGAGCGCTGCCTCGCATCTCGTCCCCGCCCGGACCGACCGCGCCTCACCCGCGCGTTCCGGGACGATGACCCCGCGGCTGCCGTGCCCCCGCCCCCGGTCGGTCCTCCGCCGGCCGCGCCCGTGATCTAACAAAGCGCAGGTCCGGCTGCGCCCCCTCCCCGAGCGGCCCCGCTTTGTCCTTGCTCCCCACACCGGACCCCCGCCCCGCTCCCCCTCCTCCCGCAGGACGAGCGGGTTCCAGCCTGGGGGGCTCGCTCCGAGTGCCCTCCCCCCGCCCCTCAGACAAGTCTCAACTGCAGTTGTTCCGTTCGTCCCTGTTCCTGTGAAGCCTCCGTGAGGACGGTGACCCTGTCGAGTCATTCACAGCTGTGTGCCCAGATGCTAGCAGTGGAGACGCTCAGTAAATGTGTGTTAAATTGAGGAATGCTGTATTAATAAAAGTTCTTCAGAAATACGGTACTTCGGGGGACTTCCCTGGCGCAGTGGTTAAGAATCCGCCTGCCAACGCGGGGGTCACGGATTCGATCCCTGGTCCAGGAAGATCGCACCTGCCGCAACTAAGCCCGCATGTCGCAACTACTGGAGGCCACACACCTAGAGCCGGTGCTCCCCAATGAGAAGCCACGGCAATGAGAAGCCCGCGCACCACAACATAGACCCCGCTCGCCGCAATTAGAGAAAAGCCCGCGTGCAGCAACGAAGACCCAATGCAGCCATAAATAAATTTATTTTTAAAAAAGAAGAAATAAGGTACTTCAGGAGTTCCCTGGTGGTCTACAGGTTAGGACTCCGCGCTTGCAATGCCGGTTGGGGAACTTAGGTCTCTCCACACGGCCAATAAATAAATAAAATAAGGTACATCAATAATATTGAAAAGAACAGGAAACATTTATATGTAAGAATTTGTGCCAAAAATAAATTGCTCCAAGACCATTCAATGAAGGAAACAATCTTTTCAATAAATGGTCCTGGGACAACTGGTTATCCACATACACCAGAATGGGTTTGGACCTCCGCCTCGTACCAGACACAAAAACAAACTCAAAATGGATCCGAAGCCTAATGTAAGAGCTATAACTATAAAACTACTACATCTGTGACCTTGGATCACGCGGTGGTTTCTTACCTGTGAAACTGAAAGCACAACCAATGAAAAGAAACCAGCTGGGCTTCAACAAAATTAAATACTCTTTTGAGTCAAAGAACACAAACAAGAAAGTGAAAAGACAAGCCACAAAATGGGAGAAAATTTTCAAATCATATATCTGATGGGGATCTACTATCCAGAATGTACTTTTTACAACTTGTAACTTAATCACAAACAGACAATCCAATTTAAAAATACACAAGGGATCTTAACAGACATTTTTCCAAAGAAGAAATACAATTAGCCAATATGCCCATGAAACAAAACTCAGTATCATACATTACTCATCAGGGAAATGCAATTCAGAACCACAGTGAGATACCACTCACTAGGATGGCTATGATTTTTTAAATGGACAATAACAAGTGTTGGTGAGGGTGTGGAAAAAGTGGAACCCTCGTATATTTCTGGTGGGAATGTAAAATGGTGAGAAGCCACTGTGGAAGAAAGCTCAGCAGCTCCTCAAAAAGTCAAGGATAGAATTTCCTTATGACCCAGCAATTCCGCTCCTAGGTATACATCCAAGAGAAATGAAAACCCATCCACACAAAAACTTGTATGTGAATGTTCACAGTAGCATAATGCTACATTAAAAAAAAAAAAACAGAAACAGTCAAGTGTCCATCAACAGACAAAGGGGTGAACAAAATACGGCCTTTCCATAGAAAGGAATATTATTTAGCCATAAAAAGGAATGAAGTACTGATACACGCTAAAATATGGATGAACGTTGAAAACATGCTAAGGGAAAGATGCCAGACCCAACAGATCACATATTGTGTGATACCGTTCATGTGAAATGTCCAGAATAGGTAAGTCCGTAGAGGCAGAAGGTAGATTAGTGGTTGCCAGGGGATGGAGGGCGGGAAATTAGGACTAACTGCTAAGAGCTAAGGGATTCTTTTCGGGGTGATGGAACGTACTGGAATTAGTGGTGATGAGTACACAACACCGTGAGGCTACAAAAAACACCAACGCTTATACTTTAAAATGGTGACTTTTATGTTCTGTATGTCTCCATGAAACGTGTATTGTTAGAAGTCCATGCAGAACATTGTTGGGGAGAACCCCATTTATTTAGGGGGGAAACTGTAGGCGTGTTCACGTGCCTGCATATCCTGGGGAAGTTTCTGGAAAGACACAGACACTGCTAGCGCCCTGACTGCTCTGAACCGAGGTGGGAAAGGGCTTTTTCACTCTACACTTCACTCCCTTTGACACTTCTTCATTTTGTTTTAGATCATGAGTGTCTTTAATTTTTATAATTAAATATGTTTTCCCCACTGTGGAAAACAGTGTAGCAGTTCCTCAAAAACCTAAACATAGAACTACCATCTTGAAACAGGAGGGAAGAGCGCAGGGCACAACCTTGAAAAGGTTGTGGATACGACAAAAACTGGTGAGAACCCATTAGGTCCAAGATGACAGAAGATCTAACTTCCAGTGGACGTGCTTACTGTAAATGCATCAGTTAAATGACACACCCACAGGGGCCAGGACAATTCCGAGGCTGACCATAAAAGGCCGAGAAGCAGGCAGGGGTCGAATTCCTGGAAATCCCTCCCCCTTCTCCAAGGTAGTTGGAATAACCCTCCCACTCATTAGCCTATGAAATTACCCAGCCCATAGGAACTAACCACCCAATATTTCGGGGCCTCTCGCCTTCCGAGCTGGCCCACCGTCTGTCTGTGGAGTGTTTCTCCCAGGGCCGCTCTCACCTTTTAAGACAGTCTGCATTCTGTCTATGGAATGTGTAGCTCTCTAAATAAATCCACTTCTTACCTATCACTTTGGCTCTCACTGAATTCCTTCGGCACTGAGACATAAAGAACCTGAGCGTCACCAAGTCCTGAGACCAGGTGTACCATCTTACTTAAAAGACCATGGGTTTGAGTCCCAGGCCAAGGCTTTGAGTCCCAATCTGGGTTTTGGCTGGGTTCGAATCCCATCTCAGTTGTGTGGTTTCAATATGACCCAGCAACCCCGCCTCTGGGTATGAACCCAAAAGAATTGAAAGCGGAGACCGGAACAGATATTTGCACACCCATGTTCACAGCAGCACTACTCACCATAGGTGGCGGCATCCTCACTGCCCACTGACGGTTGCATGGATAAATAAAAATGTGATTTATGGACTCAACAGAGTATTATTCAGTATTAAAAAAAAAGAAGGAAATGTTGACACATGGGACAACGTGGATGAACACTGAGGACATTATGCGAAGTGAAGTACGTCAGCGTCAGTCGTGAAAGAACAAACACTGCAGTACATGATTCCACTCACGTGAGTCCCTAAAGACAGAAAGATTCCTAGAGACAGAAGGTGGGATGGTCGGTGCCAGGGGCTGGGGAGGCGGAAGGGCCGGTGTGGGCAGGTCTGTGTAATGAAGGCACAGATGCAGTTTGAGAAGATGAAACAGTTCTGGAGACGCTGGGTGTTGATGGTTGCACAGCAATGTGAATGTGCTTAAGACCACTGACTGTACGCTTAAACATGCTTAAGATGGTAAACTCTATATGTTTTTTACCACAATAAAGAAAAAATGTTTTCATGAAAAACCTTTGGTGGCAATATGGATGTTTTCACTGCTTGGTTTTTCACCTTTCAAGAGTGACTGACAATTTTTTTTTTTCTTTTTGCAGTAGGCGGGCCTCTCACCGTTGCGGCCCCTCCCGCTGCAGAGCACAGGCTCCGGACGTGCAGGCTCAGCAGCCATGGCTCACGGGCCCAGCTGCTCCGCGGCATGTGGGATCCCCCCGGACTGGGGCACGAACCCGCATCTCCTGCATCGGCAGGCGGACTCTCAACCACTGTGCCACCAGGGAAGCCCAGGCTGACAGTATTTTTAAAAACATTTTTAAATGGGTGAAATGAGCCCTGTTAAACGTTTGCCAAGGACTCTCCTTGCCCTCCCAACCACCCTGCAACAAGCAGGCAGGAGCAGAGGGGCAGCTCATTCCCTGGGCTTGACTGCCGGTGGTGGTTCGGTGATGTCTCAGGCACAGGCAGAAAGGCACATTCTAGAGCGATTCCGGGCATTAGGAGCACCGCAGACACTGCGCGTTCACCCTCAGTAACCCAGGCCCTGCCCTCCGAGCAGGTGGGTGTAGAAAGGGCTTGGGGCAGCCGGGGGAGGAGAAGCGGAGGGCACTTGCGCACTTGTCATATTTGCATTTGGGGGGAAACCCCACCAGCCTAGATGCTGCTCTCCCAGCACCTGATAGACTGAAAGGCCTCACTGTGGACTCTGAACGGCCAATGGTAGCATGCAGTCCTTCCGGAGCTGTGGCAGGAGTGGGGCTGGGCTGGGCCGGGCGTTCCAATGTGCTTTTTTCCCCCAACACCACCAGGCAGTTGACACATCTGACACCATCTACCAGGAGATCCCGCAGCTCAAGTGCTCAGGCCTGCCAGAGTGCTGTCAGATGCCCATTGCAGGTCAGGTTGGCACCTGTGCTTCTGACCCACCGGCTACATATGGAGGGTTCCCATGACCCCCTCCTCGGGTTCAATTAACTTGCTAGAGCAGCTCAGAGAACTCGGAGAAACATTTTACTTAAATCACTGGCTTATCGTGAAATGACATAACTCAAGAACAGCCCGATGGAAGAGGCGCACAGGGCCAGGCCTGGGGAAGGACTCGGGCTCCCACCGCGAGTGCGCCGCTCACCCCGGATCTGCAGGGCTTCACCAGCCCAGAAGCTCTCCGCATCCCCTTCCTTTTGTTTTTTTCTGGAGCCTTCCTTACACAGGCGAGATGGATGAAATCATTGGCCATCAGTGATTGATTCAACCTCCAGCCCCTCTCCCCTCCCTGGAGGTCGCGGGTGGGAAACTGAAGGTTCAACTCTCCAGTCACAAGGCTGGGTCCCCGGGCGACCAGCCCCATCTCAGGTGAGGCCCCAAATTCGGAAACATAAATTCAGGTGTGGCAGAAAGGGGCTTGTTACGAACAGCAAAACATCTCATCTCTCTCGTCACTTAGGAAATTCCACGGGTTTTAGGAGCTCTGGGCCAGAAACAGGCTGAAGACCAAACACATATTTCTCATTGTAAACCATCGCACCACAGAGTTAATTTCTCCATCAAAGATCGCCGTGACGGTAAATTTTACACGTCGTGTGGACCGGGCTGTTTTACACCTTGCTTCTGGGTGTGTCCACGAGGGTGTTTGCAGATGAGATTAGGATTTGAATGGGGGGGGCTCCCCAGAGAAAGTGATAGGCGTCACGCAAGCAGTCGGCCCGAACAAAACAGAAGGTGGGAGGAGACGCAGCTTGCCTTTTTCTGCCTCCCTCTTGAGCTGGGACCCCTCCTGTCATCTCCCGCCCTTGGGCGGGGACTCACACCATCGGCACCCCGGGCTCCCTGGCCCTGGGGCTGGGGCTGAACTGCGCCCCCGGCTTCCCTGGGCCTCCGGCGCACGTGACATGGACGGCATCTACCTCTATACACGGACATCTATCTTTAGCACATACGGTATACGTACGGGTATACCTCCTGCTGGTTCTCTAGAGAGCCCTAATACAGACACCGATTCAAATCCCAACAGAAGCCATGCAGGTGACACAAACGTGGGGAAGAGGCAGGGGTAAGAAATCAGCAGCTCCTGTCCAAGAATAAACAACAAACACACGTGGCCTCGCCACTGGAGGACAGCAGAGGCTGCAGGGCTGCGGTAACTTGGGTGAAATAAGCCCGGACCCAAGGGGCCTCCGGCTAATTGCCGTCACAGCGGTGGCGAGCGCGTGGCGTCACCTAATCTCTTGACTTCTTTAAGTAACTCAAAATCTGGATTTTTTAAGTGAAATTTCCCAATTTCTAAAAATCGGTGACGATGTCAAAAAATTTTTACAGAGGCCAGGCCAAATAGAACGCGAGTGCAGGTCAAGTCCAGCGCCAGCCCCCAGGGTAGGAGCCCCCTCTGGAAAGCCCAGGGCGAGAGAGCTGAGCCCTCCTGCACCGGCCTGCGCTGGCCGGCAGGGAGAGCCTCTGTTCCCGGGGCAGGGCGGGGGGGGGGGGGGGGGGTCCAGGTTCCCAGGGAGCAGAGGGGGCCCCGGGAGGGGCCCGGAGACTTTCACAAGCCCCAGTTTCGAAGGCAGCCGAACTCACGCCCATCAGGGCCGACTGTTTTCTACTTTCACTGTTTTGATGAAAACATTTCTGAGCGGACTACACACCTCTCGTTTCTTCAAGAAGGCTGGCAGAAGGTTGCTGCTGGTGGGAAGGAGCAAATACCTAAGTTAATGGTTTTAGTGCTTTTCTAATTGTGGGAAGAGGTGAGAATCCAGGTTCATAAACGACTACTCCAGAAAACACCTGACCCTCTGAGGGCCTGTGCTGCCCGTTTTCCCAGAACACAGAGTCTCACCCTGCTCTTCGCCCTGAACTTTCCGGGTGCGCTGAAACGTCAGCGGCCGCAGTGGCTGGTGACCGAGGCTGCGGCCACTGCCCTGACTCCCCCCGGGCCCGGCAGCGGCTCCGCTCTGGGTGTCCGCCGTCCCTTCTCCCTGCGGGCAGCTGAGGCAGGGGAGGAGACTGCTCACTGGCGGCCTCAGTAGGGCGCCTAGGGCGGGCGTGCAGCCCTCACACGTGGCCGGAAGCCTCCTGAGACCCTGCCCTGAGGCTGGCCGAGCCTGGCTGTCCTGAATAAGCGAGGGTGCTGGATGGGAAAGGATGACGGGAGGGCCCGGTCTTCAAACTGGACATATCCTCTTTGTCTCTCCCTAGGAACAGGGAATGTTCGCACAGATACACGCAGCAGGGTGCCCTCCGTGGAGACTTGTTGGCGGCGATACGACCATTTGGACCCCGTGCTCGCCGTGTGGAAGAGAAGCCCTCCCAGGATGGCTTTAGCAGGTGAGGACCAAGGAGAAGGGGAGGCCATCCGGGCCTGGTACAGCAGCTCCCAGCACTGCCGGGAGCCCAGGCGCCTCTGCCTTTCCACGTGCCTCCAGGTGCCGCGGTGAGCCTCACGGTCACTTCACAGCAGGGCTGCGGTGCTCCCAGGCATCACACCTGAGGTTCTGGCAGGACGAAGGGGCAAAAGCAAAGAGCGATGCAGCCGCGCCTGTCCGTTTTTATTACAGCTTTCCCAGAAGACCCACCCAGCAGACTTCCACGTCGCCTCATGGGCCGGAACCAGGCCAACGGTCACTCCTAATTACAAGGGCGGCTGGAAAATCGGCTACTTTTACGTGCACGTTGCTGCCCAGACAACAGTGGGGTTTTGTTAGCTCAGGCGAAGGTGGAATGGCCCGTGGGGAGGACTCGGCCCCCCGGCTAGATGTGGGGGGCGGGTGTTAAATTTTCTGCGGCTCCCTGGAGACCAGCCCCCAATCTCTTTCTCAATTGGAGCCTGTCGTGGGAACCAAGGAGAATGAGGACATGCTCAAAGCTGGCCTCTCTGTGCAGCGAGGTCGCAGGTCTCGGGCGTGGACCGCCGGCCCGGGCCAGGCCGTCTCTGCCTGGTCACCTGGCGGCCCCACGCCAGTCGGTCGGTCGGTCGGGGGAAGGCGGGGCGATGGGCGAGAGCCTGGCCAAAGGAGCACCTGGCCCTTGGCGGGAGGAGGGACAGCAGGCGGCCCCAAGGACTGGTCAGTGCCCCGCTCGGCCACTTCTCACGGCACCAGCCCCCCGAGCCCACTCGGCGCCAGGCCTGAGCACCCAGCCCTGAAGAAGACCCCCACTGCCTTCCCGGTCCCCAGGGAGCCGCGTGGGGACAGCAGAGGTCCCCGCCCTCTGGCCTCAGCTGTAAGCTGGGGGCGCAGTGACACTCCCTCCGGGTGGTGAGCCCCAAGAGGGCGTGAGCACAGCTCCTGACCCAGGAGAGCACGGGGAGTAGCGGAGGGAGACGGGGGGCTGTGAGGTGAGGGCGGGGCCGAGGTGGTGAGGGGACCACAGGGCTCTCGGTCCCGCTCACAGCCGCAGGGCCCGCTGGAGCACACGCTCATCCGCCACCTCATGGGGCAGCGTCACCACCAAGCCCCTGTCCTCCTGCATCGTCCGGCAGATGATCTCGTAGGCCTTCGGGTTCCCGGACCAGCAGCGGCGGGCCACCTGCCGGCGGGGCGGGGAGAGGGCGTGCAGTGTCGGTGCCACGTCGTCGGCGGGTCAGTGGGTTCCCACCAGGCGTTCCCAGGTCACACCTCCTCCTCCCTTGGCCAGAAAACTGACCCACCCGCCTGTGACGACGTGACACTCGCCATCCTTCTGCCTGAACTCCCCCCCCCCCCCCCGGCCGGGGCCCCCCCCCCCGCCCCCCGCCCCCCGGGCCCCCTGGACGGTGGCCTCGGCCCTCCCCCCACCTCTGGCTGCCTTCCTGCCACTCCCCACCTCCCCCAGCCATTCCCTCACTGCCGCACCGCCTTCCGGACGAGGACCAGCCCCCTCTGCTGGGGCTCCGCCCCTCCACTCTCCTGGGCCACCCAAGTCTAACCCTAGCGCAGGGCTCCCAAGCCCCTCCCCATTCCACTGCCATCTGCAAACACCCCCCATCACCCCCTGACCTCGCATTCGTGCTGCTTCCCCCTTCAGGCCCGCGTGGCCATAGAGACGGCTGGAGCCCCGCACCACAAGCGCACACGCGCACGCACAAGCAGGCACACGAGCGACACCGCCCGGGCCCCCTGCGGACACAGGCTGGGCTGGAAAGAGCCCGTCTGAAGAGGAAGGAAACCCTGGCGGTGGCTGGAGGGGAGACACAGGAGCAGCGGAGCTTCCGGACTGTTTTCTGGGAGGGGGGCAGGGCCACTGAGGGGGAGGGGCCAGGGGGTCACTCACTCCGTTGGAGACGTCCCAGCTGAGCATCATCTTGGCCTTCTGCTCAGCCTCCTGAGTCCCGTCCAGCACAAGGCCAAATCCCCCGTTGATCACCTCACCCCTGCGAGAGGCAAAAGGTTCCCAGGTCACACTGGGTCCGACCCTGCGAGGGGCAGGCCTGCTTCGGAAGCGCTGTCTGGGGAAACAGCTCCGCAGCCCGGAGCCTGCCTGTGCCTAACGGCCGAGGGATGCAGGTTGCCCGCTCGTGCCTCCGAGCTCCACCCATAGACCCCAGGCCCCCCTCCGGGCCCCCACGTGTCGCCTCCGTGCGGGGCGGGGCCACCTCTTCCGGGCCCCCACGTGGCTCTCTTCCTGCCGTCCTTCGCGCTTGTCCTCCTGTACTCGCATTCGGGGTCCTGATTATTTGATTTGAGGGCCGAGTTCCCGGATGCCCAGCATTTGCTGGACCACCTCCTCTCCCAGGTTTGACGTGCTCTGGGGTCCCTCGTCCCTTGAGAGCTGTCATTCCATTCTCATCATCCACGTGGGCCAGTGCCCGTCCTCTCCCGCTGCTTGCCCCGCAGTTCCTCCCCATCAGCCACGGAGACTGCGTCCTTCCTGAAGCCCCGGGATGCATCCTCACCCTCCACGTCTTTCTGCAAGGCTCCTGCCCAGCTCACATCCCTGACCCTCCAGCCCCTTTCGGTTACACACACAGGAAACGCCCTCAATCCTGTCAGCTCCTGCCAGGTTTTACTGCCAGGCTCAGCTCTCAGATCCTCTGGCCCCTCCGGCCTCACCCCCTTCTCTGCCCAGCTGGACCCTCCCGACAACCTCAGCCGGTTCCCATCCCACCCAGGGAGCGGAAGCGGAACTCCTGCGCCCGGGCCTGCGTCCCTGCAGCCGGCCGCCCTGCGCCCGCGAGCGGGCTCCCAGCACTTCCCGTGGCCCCTGTGGTGGAGGGGGCTCTGCACGGATTCAAGGTCATCACCACTCGCTCGTCAGAGGCTGGTGCCGGGGATCAGAGGACAAAGCAGGCGGCAGCCACAGTCCTTTGACCAGAGAGGACTTTTGGAGATTAGAACGACATCTTTCGTTTTGGTAGCCTGAAGCCCAGATGGTCAGAGAGCAAAGGTGCCCAGCTCCAGGGGACCTCTGCAAACCCTGCCTGGAGCAGTCCAGGGCCCAGGAAGACAGCAAGAAAGGAGGACCTGTATCCCGGAGCAGTTGCTGGACAGAGAACGGTCCCGTTGAGAAGGACATAAAAGCAGAACCCTATGTCACATGTACCAAGAGCCAGTGCCAGATGTATTAAGGAAGGAAGTACTCAACATTATAAGATGAACAAGAGCACGCACCTCAGGAACAGGACCCTGGGAGAGCGACTCAAAGCAAAACAGCAGAGTCTGTAACTCTGGCCCAGCAGCCCGGAAGCCCCGGGTTTCAGGCAGTGACACCGGCCAGGGCTGAAGAGGTTATGCAAACAGGAATCTTCATGCCGGGAACTGGGGCGCCCACGGTGCACACACAGTGACGGTTCACGTTCACGGGAGGGGTGCCTCGGCAGGGCAGGGCCTGTCCTGGCTCCTTCACAAGTGACTGCGGGTGGCTTTGCCGGGAACCCCAGGCAAAGTCACATTCTCAGTGCTGCTGCCTCATAGGTGGGACCATCGAGGTGATTCGACGAGTGTCTCTGGAGACACCCGTGCACAGGTCGCGCACCACAGAAGCCTTAGCTGCCGCGACTAATCTCCACCGCTAGCCCGCAAAGCATGCTGCTACCGTGACCATTTGTCCAGGAGAAACAAGCTCCTTGGGGAGCCCCATGCACAGCCGGGTTCGAGATATGCTCTAGTGAGGAAACAGCATCACATCCAGATAAAGACGGTGCACTTACTCCTCAAACACGTGAGGCCCCGGGGCTGGACCGGGTGTGAGGACAGAAGGCAGGGACACAGGGACTGAGGGGAAGGCCCGGACCCTCCCTGGAGGGACGGAACCACACAGGCTCTACGCAGCCGTCCAACCCGCCGAGACCAGGGACTGACTGCCGACTCTCCCGCTCTGCGCCCTGTCTAAAAGGAGCAGACGGCAGGGACCGCGGGCGGGCAGCACAGGACACACCCCAGCACACAGTCAGAGCAGACTGGGCAGAGCAGGGGCCACAGAGCGACCCAGTGCCGACTCTGACCAGCTCAGAAACGGGAACGCAAACTGAGAGGTATCAGTGGCTTATGACTTAGACACTTGCTTTTCCGTACAAGAAGGCAAAAACTATAGCTGGAGACGGAAGGAAGAACAGGCATGGGACAGATTTTTCCCGCTGATCTTCACAGGAAGGTTTGCGCAGTATCTGGTGGATTAAATCATGCATGTCTGTGTCTGATGGATTCCGGGTGAATCTGAGGCACTTTCCAAAGGAGCCCTCGAGGGCGGCCACGACCGAGGGCCTCGGGGCCAGCGCCTCGCCGGTCGCGCCCTGTCAGGGCCTAGGGCAGCCTGGCAGTGAGAGGGGACCCCGCTCTGGGAGCCCCGCGCAGGGTCAGCGGCAAGCACTGTCCTGAGGCCTCGTGTCCTGCACACTTTCTCGGGGGCTCCGTCCTGCCTTCTGCGGTCCTGTCACCAATGTCGCGAATCCAGGGACAACAGATCTGGGTCCAGATCTGGCTCCACCAGCACCTCCGGCCCCCTTCAGAGCTGCTCTTGCACCTGCAGCATGACTTAGCAAACCCAGTGCCAACACGCCAGGCGCTCCCTCCCGTCCTGGTTTTCTCCAGCCTGTGTCTCTGAAAGGACACGCGATCCGATCACATTTTCCATTCATGAGAACCACCTGACTGGGCTGCAGCTCGGAATTCCGGCCTCAAAGGGCCCAAGGCCAAGCCAGCCCCCGGGGACGCTCTGGAAGCTGCAGCGTGAAGGACTTGGCTCTGGAGGGCAAGTCCAGGCTTGATCCGGCCAAAACGGGCTCAGAGGTCAGCTCAGAGGTGGCCGGGGCCCCGGGCAGCTGTCTTCCTCTGCGGGGCCACGGCGCCCCCTGCTGCTCTGAGGAGCCAGGAATCCCACGCGACCAGAGCTCCCCAGGCGACCCCCCCACCCCCACCCCCGCCCAGAGGCCACGCGCACAGGTGTAGCCCCAGCTGCCTGCTGCCTCAGTTTCCACATCAGTAGATGCATTTCTTTTCCAAGAGTGGGTGAGAGAGGGGATTCAAATGCTTGCCAGGCAGTCCACTTGCAATAAACGTTAGTTATTCATCGTTCTTAGCAGCAAATATGACATCATGGTTTATAACAAGAAAGACGTATTTGGTCTTTGCCCACCGTTCCTGGCACGGAGCTCCCAAAACCCTTGGAACTTCCTCTGCTGAGAGGGATGAAGGTGTCTTTCCTTATGCTGATGAGCTGACTCTGGGAAACCACCCAAGGATGGGGCTGGTTGCCAGTGGAGCCGCCGTGTGATCAGAGGCCTGGAACGTGGGTCCCAGCCCCTGACCTTCCGGGAGGGCGGGGGGGCTGGAGGCGGAATCAGTCGCCAGTGGCCGTGATGTAGTCAATCACGCCCGCATAAGGAACCCTCCACAGAAACCCCAAAGGAGCGGGTTCAGAGAGCGCCCAGGCTGGGGAGCCAGAACGCTTCCATGTGCTGCCGTGCCCGGCCCCAGCCCCACAGGGTCCCTTTGGGTCCTCAACTCGTGTATCTCCTCATCCGGCTACGGATTCACATCCTTTGATGTCTTTTGTAGTAAATCAGAAATCCAGTGACTAAATGGGTTCCCTGCGTTCTGTGAACTGCTCTAGCAAACCAGTGGAACCCGAGGAAGCGGCTGCAGGGACCCCTGATCTGCAGCTGGTGGGTCGGAAGCACGGGTAATACTGTGCACATGTGACTGGAGTCGGCAGGTGGGTGGGGGACAGCCCCGTGGGACTGAGCCCTCAGCCGTGGGATCTGACGTTATCTCTGTGCTGACGGTGTTGGAACTGCAGGACACACAGCTGGTGTCAGAAAACCCCCTTGGGTTGGAACTGGGTGCAGAATTATAGGGATGTCCCCAAGAGGGAAATGCATCTGTCGCCCAGAAGGGAGCCTCCCAGAAGCCCTAGCTCCCTCGCGGTGTGGGCTGGAAACAGGCCTGGCTGGGTAGAGAGGGGCCAGGACCCAGGGAGCCCAGAACCCAGGTCCCCGCCTCCCAGCCCAGCCCCTGGCGGAGTGAAAGGACGGGGCCAGGAGAGTGCTGAGCATTCCCTGGAAAATATCTGTGAAAGCAGCATGAAAACGACAGGAAAGGGTGATTTACGGCGTCCATGGCAGGCCTTGGTGTCCCGCGCGACGGGTGAGACCCCAAAGGTGGGGTGTTGGGCAAGGCCCCCATTTCCAGCTCACACGAGGAGCCCTCGGTAGCGGGAGCTCCAGGAAGCAGGCCCAGGACCCTGGAGGAGACCCCCGAGCCTTCCACAGGAGCCCCAGCTGCACCACCGGCCCCCAGAAACCTCCTTACCAGCCGACACCCCCGCCGTTGTGCAGGGCAACCCAGGTGGCTCCCCGGAACGCATCTCCCACGAAGTTCTGCACGGCCATGTCTGTGGAAACAGAGCCCCGTCAGCCCCCGAGGAAGGCAGCCAGGCCGGGCCAGGGTCTGAGGGACGGATGGGAACAAGGCAGGGCAACTGCAGGAACAGCGGAAATTTGTATTTTCAGAGCCAAGCAAAGCAGGACAATGAACAAGTGCCTGACGAGCACTGTCGCCCCTGCTGTCCTCTCTCCGGTGCCAGGTACAGCGCCCCAGAGGCACGGAGGACAAAGGAATTCAAAGGGATGTGGTGGCAGTGTCAGCTCAGATGACAAAGAGCGTCCGTCCCACCCTTAGAGCAAACACGCTAAATTGGGGGCAAACTGCAAACCACCAGCTGTCCTCGGCCCGTCAGAGGCCCGAGGCCCCGGGCGGCCAGCTACCCAGAACGCTGTGGGGAGGCAGGCACCTGCGCGGAAACGGGACCCGCGCCTCACTCGCGTCTAAGGGCTCGCTGAGTGACAAGCCTCAGCATGCCTGAGACCGAGGCCCCTGGGGACACGGACAGAAGGGGTCGGCACCCTCCAAACCCCCACTGTGCCCACAGAGAAGAGGAGGGGGTCCTGGGAATACTTTCGTCCTAGTGCAGGGCTATGAGATACAAGAAGAGCAGCTCTAGGACCTGGAAAAGGCCAGGGAGCAGATTCTCCCCTGCAGCGTCCTGAGACGTCACAGCCCTGCCCGCACCTCGACTTAAGCCCCGAGAAACTGACTTCAGACTTTAGACCTTCAGAACTGCGAGGGAACACATTTGTGCTGTTCCAGCCTCTGAGTTTGTGGTATGTTGTCACCGTGGCCAAAGGACACGAATGTAAACCACATTGATATCAGAGAGCTCCAGAGCCAGCAGTATTATCAGGGATAAACAGGGGCATCACACGATGATAGCGGTCAAGTCTCCAAGAAGAGACAGTAAACCTAAACAAGGGCACACCTAACAACACCACTCTAAAACACACGTGGCAGGGCTTCCCTGGTGGCGCAGTGGCTGAGAGTCCGCCTGCCGATGCAGGGGACACGGGTTCGTGCCCCGGTCTGGGAAGATCCCACATGCCGCGGAGCGGCTGGGCCCGTGAGCTGTGGCCGCTGAGCCTGCGCATCCGGAGCCTGTGCTCCGCAACAGGAGAGGCCACAACAGTGAGGGGCCCATGTACTGCAAAAAAAAAAAAAAAACACAAAAAAAAAACACATGGCAAAGTGGATGAGAACTGAAAAGAGAACAGACAAATCCACAAACACAGTTGGGAACTTCATGACCCGTCTGTCAGTAATTTATGGAACAAGTCAGCAGAAAGTCAGTAAGGACCTAGACACCAGGAACAGCATCACCAACTGACGTGACCTCATTGACACTTAAAGAACAAGCCCCCAAGTAACCGCAGGAGACACCTTCTTCCCACGTGCCCCAAGATGGACCAATACAACCCTTAGCAAATTTAAAAGGACAGAATGAATACACAGTGAGCTCTCAGATTATAGTGGAATTAAATCAAAAGTCAGTAACAGAAAGACATCAGAAAAATCTCCCCAAACTTGAAAATTTAAAAAGATACTTCTCAATCACTCACGGGTCCAAGAGAATGTCTCAAAGGAAATCTAAAATATTTTGAACTGAATGATAATAAAAATATATTATGTAAAAATTTGTGGGATGCAGCTAAAGCAGTGTTTAGAGGGAAATTCAAATTCACTTTTATTAGAAAAGAAAAAAGGTTTAAAATCAGTAACCTCAGCTTCCACCTCATGAAACCAGAGAAAGAAAGAAGCCACAAATGACCAACATCAGGAAGAACACAGCGGACGCCACAGACGTGAAGAAGATAATGAAGGAATACGACTCTATACGCATAAATTCCATAACTTAGACGGAGTGGACCCAATCCCTCAAAACAAAGTGATGCGGGGGGTGCTCCTGACCGTCCACCTCCTTCCCTTGGGATCCCGTCCATAATGGGAGGAGCTGCAGGTGCTGGGAACCAGAAGGCCCCCCAGTACGGAACGCAGAAGCTCTGGAGCGACAGTAACAATCGCGGCGGCTGCAGCAGCAGCAGTCCCTCCCTGAACGCGGCCCAGGTGCACCCGGGTCTCGGGCATCCACCTAGCTGGGCCACCTGGCACCCGCCCTGGTTTACCACTGAGCCCGCATCCCAGGACCCCTCCCTCCGTCCTGGGCTGGCCACCCCGTGCCATGCCTCTCAGAGGCCAGCACCTTTCTTGCAACACCACAACCGACTGAATGAATCCCTTGATGGTTAAATAAAATCCAACAGAGAAAAAGCTTAAGTTTGTTGTGCTCCTCACCCGCACAGAAGGCAGAGCCGTCACGGATGTTGGAGGTCTCCCTAAACGGGCTGTCTGTGCCGCTCACGTCGTGATGGTCTCGGCTCAGGACCACCGGTGCCTGCAGTGCGGGAGGACACAAGAGGTCAGCTACCCATGTCCACTGCCCAGCACAGGGCAGAGGTCAAGGGACAGGGCACACCCGATGCCCTTCGGATTCCCCTGAGAAGCAGACCTTCGGCGGGAGGAAGTGCAGGGCTTCTGTTGCCCCCGTGGCTGCCCAGAGACGCACTTTCCAGCCACCTGGAGCCCCATGTGCTCTCCAGCTGCTGGGTCCGAGTCTCCTCAACCCCACCCACACTGTCACCACACCCACTTGATAGAGGAAAACTGAGGCCCGGAGAGGACAGGACACCTCCCCGATGTCACAGGGCTGTAAGGGACAGCCTGGTGTTTCGACGGCACTAGAGGTACCGGGATTTCACGGCTTCAGCGTCCGAGGAGCTGCCCTGTCCTTGAACAGGCCAAGTATGCTCCCCCTCTTCACCTCTGCCATGAACCACCTGTGCAGTATTCCGGCACCTTCTGGATACTCAGGCCTCTGCTCTGCGTCTGCAAGGCAGCAGGCCATCCTGACCCCTGTCGCCCCACATGTCACCTCATTCACAGAGCTTGGTACCACTGAGATCCCCTGAACTGATACGTTTGCCTGCATGTCCAAGTGTCCCTCCACCAGCACCAGGCAGGACCCTGTCTACCTTGTCCTCTGCACAGCAGTGCTGCAGCAAGGCTGGCACCAGGGGGCGCTTGGGAAGGAGTGGGGGGGGAGGGAAGGAGAGACGGGGAAGGAGGGGGGGAGGGGGGGGGGGAGGGAAGGAGGGAGGGGTAGGAAAGGAGGGAGGGGAGGGAAGGAGGGAGGGGAGGGAGGGAGGGATGGGGGACGGAAGGGGAGGGGGGAGGGGGAAGGAGGGAGGGAAGGGGGAGGGGGATGGGGGAGGGAAGGAGGGAGGGAGGGAAGGAGGGGGAGGGAAGGAGGGAAGGGGGAGGGGGAAGGAGGGAGGGAGGAAGGACTAAGATGCTGTCTCTGCCCTGCCAGCACTGTAGCACCACAGCAGGAAGTGCGCATGCACTGAGCGAGGTGGGCAGGGCTGACCAGGAGGGAAATGGGGAAAAGCAGGGAAGGTTGTCATGGTTTGAAAGGGACGATTTAACAAAACCACGTGAGACACTCGTGGGAAAGCCACGTTCTGAGGTTACGGGAGCCTCTTTTCTGATAAGAGGTTCAGAGAGGGCCCCTGACTGCCCAAAGTCACACAGCAGGGACCGAGTTGCCAGAGCCTGGGCTTGAGGACGGGCCTCCTCCCTCCCGGGCCTGGGCTGGCCTGGTGGGGAGGCAGGGGAGCCCCTCCCAAGCACAGGACAGCCCACCTTGATCTTCCCACGGGCGATGGCTTGGTTGAAGGCCACGGCGATGGCCACACGGCCTTTCTGGTCCGAGTACAGGATCCTGGCCTGGGAGCCCACCACCTGCGGAGAGAAGGGTGAGAGCTGACCGACGTGGGGGACGCTCGGGAGACACGGCCACCAGCAGTCAGACGGCCGCCTCCAGGGAGGCAGGAGGCGGCCCTAGAGTCCAGCACTCACGTCCTGGCCCGCGTGTCCACGTGCAGTCTGGGCCCCCAGATGTCCCTCCTGACCCATCCCCGCAGGGTTAGCCCCAGGGGCCTCCGGGACCCTGACTCGCCTGTCTCCGGGGATATCACCTCCCGTGGGCGTCACCCCGCTCGACCCTTCCCACCAGAGTAACCTCAGCACCCCACGAGGCGGTTCTGACGTGTCTGCCTTGCTGCAGCTTGGCACCCAGAATCTCCTTAGTGAGTCTGTGAGGAAGACGCTACTGTGCTCATCACAGGCCCCGTTGCACAGGTGAGGAAACGGGCCGGGGAGGCTGAGCCCCTGCGCACCGCCACCAGGATGCAGCCCCTTTGGAGCTGGGGGGCACTCACTGCGGGAGACAAAGGCTCCCGAAAATGAACTGTTGTTCATGTTGGCGTTGTCACTGCTAGCACAGCGTCATCGTTAGCACAGTGGCTCTCAGCCGGGCGACCTCTGGGGATGACTGTGGACATTTGGGTGCTGCTGGCATGGGTAGGGACGCTGCTAGACTATGGTCCCCGTGACCAAGAATCTCCAGCCCCCAGGCGCTCGAAGAGGTAGTGGCGCCCATGTTCACAGCAGCATCATTCACAGTAGCCAAGAGGGGAAAGCAACCCATGTCCATGGCCGGCGATGGATAGACAAGGTGTGGTCCATACACACAGGGAACACGATTCCGCTTAAAAAGGAAGGAAATCCTGACATGTGACAACGTGGATGAACCTTGAGGATATCAAGCTCACGGAAATAAACCAGACACAGAAGGAGAGGGGAGGGGAGAGGGAGCTAGGGTCTGACGGGGACAGAGCTTCAGCTGGGGAAGATGAGAAAGTTCTGGAGATGACGGTGGCGATGGTCGTACAACAGTGTATGTGCTTAATGCCACTGAGCTGTACCTTCAAAATGGGTCAAATGGTAAATTTTATGTCATGTATATTTACCACAATCAAAACAAATTCACCTGGCCCCAGATGTCAGCAGTGCCGAGACTGAGAAACCCTGGGCTCTGCAAAGGGGGTGCAGGTGTGTCCCTCAGCCGCGCAGGGATGGGGTGAAGCACGGCGGGGCGGGGGGGGCGTCCACAGGAGGCCCGCGCGCGCCAGCCTCTCGGTCAGCCTGGGGCTTCCTCGGCCTCCCGCCTTCCACCCAAAGCTGTACCGTAACCAGCACGGCAGCCTTTCAGGTTTCCCGGATCCACAAACAGAAAATGGGAGGAACTGACCCAGGACTGCCAGCTTTGTCAAGAGCGTACATTGAAAGAAACAATTAAAATGTTAAAAGGACAACCTTCTGTGATCACCAACTTTCACGAGAGACGAGGGAGGGAGGGAGTGGGGGGGGAGGGAGGGAGGGAGGGGGGAGGGCAACCTGAAACAAAGGGGAAAGACACCATGTCCAGGTAACTTTAACTCAAACACAAAGAGAGGGTCCTGCTCGCAGGTTGGGGGGGCATCCAGCTGGCCGCCCACAGGCCCTCAGCCCTGCAACCCTGCCGGCCCCTTCTCGGTGGTCGTGGCCCTCCTCTCCAGGCCTCCCTGCACTGGCCCCCCATCTCCACCTCTTGCCCCACCCTCCCAGGCCCAGGCCCTCAAGTCCAACAGTGACGGCCATGGGCATCTCAGGCTCCAGGTAGCTGGCATGAAGGGTTTTGTGGAGAAATGCATTTGTGACCGCTGGGCCAGGAGGCGGCGGCAGCCTGGCTGGACAGGGCTGGACCAGGAAGCCCAGGAGAGGGGGCTCAGAGCTCGGGGGAGGCCTGGCTGAAGCCCAGGCCAAGGACCCACTGGTCCAGACGTGGTGGCGGCATCCGGCCACCAGGGTCTGTGGTCAGAGGCCTGTGACCCACACGCCCATTTCTCACTTTGCCCTGGTGCATCCGGTTGGCTGTCTCCTCAGGCCTGTGCACTGGCTGACCCCTCCGCTTCCCCCACTGTCACTCCCCCCACCTTAGCCCCCAACCCCACTTAGACCTGAATCCACAAGTCAGCTCCTCAGAGACACCCTTCTGACGGGTTCGTGTAAACCAGTTCCCACCTCGAGTCACCCGATTGGTGGTCACGCTCACAGTCACGGAAACGCCCGTCCCCCCAGCCCTGGCCCCGCAGAGCGTCAGAGGGCCTGCTCCAAGCCCCACACCACAGCCAGGGGGCACGCGCCGCCTCCAGCATCTCCACCGCGCAGACAGGACGGGAGGCTCAGAGAGGCCAAGCCACTCACCCCAGGTCACACAGCGGAGAAGCCGGGAGACCTGGCTCCAGGGCCCAGCAGGGGAGTGAGGGGAGGAAAGACCTGCCTGACCCTGGTTGCTGCCCAGGAGCCCAGGCCCCCTTCTGAAAGGTCCTGGGCTTCTCTGCCCAGCGGCCCCTGGGTTAGGTGGCCAGTGGGGACATCACCTAACTGGCCCAGGTGGCAAGCAGCACCTCACCCCGGGCACGGTCCAGCTGCCCACCCTGCCCCCGCCAGGCTGAGCCCTCACCAGCCGGTGCTGGGAGGCCTCCCGGATCCAGCGGATGTTGTCCATGTACTGCTGCTCCACAGCCGGATTCACTGCAGGGAGAGGGGAAAGGGTGTCACAGGCACCGGCAGCCCCTGCCCCACGGTGGGGGGCGGCACAGACCCTCCTCGCTAAGGCTGCAGGGCAGAGGCACCCGTCTGTGTCCACAGACGGACCCACAGATGGCCTGGAGCAGCTGTGACACGGAGACGCAGAGGGGCCTGGACACGGGGGAACGGCGCAGATGGACACAGGGCCAGCTACAGGGAGCCAGAACACCATCAACAGGCACCACCCAAGGATGTGCCCTGTGCCCATGGGGCCAGGCCAGGGACCACGTGTCCAGGCTGCCCAGCACCGCCAGGCAGGTGTCTATTGGAGCCTCTGGGGGTCACCGTGCACCAGCATCTCCAACCAGCAGCCTCACCTCCACCAGCAATGACCTCCTCCAGCACTGACGTGGCCAGCTGATCCGTGACCGCCAGGTCCTGCGGGTCCCCGGACGTGCACACCCAGCGGAAAGGCCCAAAGCCCTGGGAGAATATGTCCCTGCAAGGGCAAAAGGCTCGTCAGCTGGGGGCTTCCAGGCTGGCTGCACCCCCTGGCTGGGGTCACCGCGGTCGGCGAGGCTGCAGGTGCTCCAGAACTGAGGAGGTGAGGGCTGTGCGCCAGGCGGTGGTTCGTGGGGGCCTGTGTAGTGAGTGGGCGTCGGTGTCCACGATGGCTGCCGGAAGCCCCCAAGCCACGAACTGGACGGTAACTTCCCCCAGCCCCCTCTGTCCCCTCGGTGTCCTTTCCCAGCTCCCCTCTCAGGGCTGTACCATCTCTGGCTGCAGAAGCAGGGAGCTGGGACACAGACAAGCAGAAATTCCTTAAGTTGCTGTTGGAGACAACCTGAAAACCAGGCAACTGAAACTAAATATTGGGACAAACAGTAAACTTAAGGCCAAATCTGCTTTAAGTGGGCTGACCTTCCGAGGGGACTCCAGGCAGAGGAATGCAGGGGCCTCCCTGGGCTCCCGCGCCCACCCAGCCCCTGCTGGGCTCCCTTCCCACTGCCCCCTGGGGACACCCCAGTGGCCCTGGCCCAACTCTGGCCCCTCCCCTCCCACAGTGAACCTCAGAAGGACGCGGGCCTCTCTCGCCCCCCGGGGGTCCCCTCCGGTGCAGATCCGGGGCTGCTGCCCACCCCACCCAACCCAGCGGCTCAGGCCCGAACTCCACCCTGTCCTCTCCCGCCGGCCGCTCCCTGGTCCCTGCTTGTTCCGGCCCACGTGGCCAGGGAAGCACACGGGCTGCAGGGATCAGGCCCTCCGCCGCCCACTCGTGGCTCGGGCGTGGCCGATCCTGTTCTCTCCCTGAGGCCCTGCACAGGGTCTCTCGTTTTCAGCTCCTTTCCCCCTGCATTTTGGGGTGGAAAGCCCGTGACCCGGTGCAGGCCTCAGCACGTGGCCTGAGCAGTGGGGAGAGGAGGAGATCTTCAGACCTGCATGTCCAGGACAGACGCTGGAAGGGCCCATCACTCACCCCATAATGTGCTGAACGTACGAGGGGTAGCGGAACTCCGTCCTGTTGGCGCCCGTCTTCCCCACGTCAGCCCCTGTGCGCGGAGACCCAGCGTCACCTGGAGAAACCGAGGCCCAGCGAGACCAAGGCCCTGGCAGGGCCAGCTTCCAGAAGGGACACGTGGAGCCAACCCGCAGGCCACACTGCCCCGCCCACGAGGCCTGCAGAGAGGGAACCCCCCCCCCCTTCTCGCTCACCTGCTCTCTGGGCCTCCAGGAGGAAGGCGTTGCCATAGTCCCAAAAGAAGAAGTTCTCCTGGGCCAGCCTGTTGATGGCCGAGACGTGCCTCCTCAGGCTGCGAGAGGTGCGGTCAGTGGTCAGCTCAGCACCGCCCGCCCGGGCTGAAACCGAAGCCGAACCCCACGAGCCCCACCTCCCTGCTGACTCTTCCCCCAGCTGACCCCACCCCTCCTGGTTCCACCCCCTTCTGACCCCACCCTGACTGGCTCCACCCCTCCTGGTTCCACCCTCCTGGCTCCACCCCAGCTGACCCCACCCCTCCTGGATCCACCCCCTGCTGACCCCACCCCTGACTGGCTCCACCCCTCCTGGTTCCACCCTCCTGGCCCCACCCCTGCTGACCCCACCCCTCCTGGCTCCACCCCTGACTGGCTCCTCCCCCAGGCTCCACCCTTCCTGGCTCCACCCCTTGCTGCCTCCTCCCCCCAGCGCCTCCTTCCTGGAAGCCCCGGTCCGTGCCGGCTCCTCAGGTCCCCCTACCCTTCAGGACCCTGCAGGCAGCCCCTAAGCTAGCGCCTATGGGTCGGGTCGTCAGCCAGCCAGCCCGGCGCCGGGACCAGACTCAGTGCTGAATAAGCAACGGCCTCTTGCAGAAGCGCCTCAGGCTCCCCTCCACCAGCACCTGCTCAGCACTCACACGTGCCGGAAGCTGCCCCCAGTGTTTTGCAAATGTCACCCCAGTCTGTTCCCAGCATACCCACAGGCCAGGGAGCCCATGACCCCGTGTGACAGAGGAGACAGAGGCCCAGAGAGGTTAAGGGTCTTGCCCGAGGCCACACAGCTGCCCCAGGAGAACTGGGCAGAGGCCAGAGCCTCCCAGTCCAAAGTTCCTGCAGGCCATGTGTACCCCCATCCCTCCCCCGAGCAGCCCTGGGACCTGCATCACCTTTCCTGGACCAGGGCTTTGAAGGCAGCAGGGTCGGAGGCCATGAGGCTCTGGGCCTCTGCGAAGCCCAGCTGCACGGGGTAGTAGCCACCGTTGAACGGGTTGTGGCAGGACGTCTGGTCTGACCCCAGGTCCACCAAAAGCTCCCCCGTCGTGTCCAGCTCACGGACCAGGCGCTCCCTGGGGAGACTCAGGTGGTCAGGGCAGGGCAGGCAGTGCCGGGGCCCGAGCTCAGGGTCCAGCCAGGGAGGCACGCAGCGTCTCCCAGCCCACATGCCCAGTCGTCAGGCATGGAGGCTCATCCTGCTTTCCCTCTGGAAAGATCCCTGGCGGGAGGGCTGCCTGCCTGGGCAAAGGCTGCCGTGAGCTCGGCCAGGATCCAGGCCATGAAGGTTGGGAGCAGAGCCTCAAGCTGACACTGGAAGCCTTGTGTCCCGGGAGCACCTGGCCCGGGACCTTGGCTGGGGGGGCTCACCCGGTGTCCTCGAGGCTGCCAACGCCCCCCACTTACCAAAGATCCACCACGTTGCCATGGTAACCAAGGCTGAGGGCCTCCTTCCTCTTCCTCGCTTCCCTGGAAGGGGCAAGGGCAGGACAGATGGCCCCACCGCACCTGCCCACGGCTACCCACCCCCAACACACAGGCCCCAAGCTGGTGGGGATGCAGAAGGCCCAGGAGGCACCCAAAGCACCACGTGTGAGCGTAGGCCTGAGATGCAGGGACCCATGAGGTGTGTCTTTTGAGGACCCAGGCCTGAGGGGAACAGCAGACTTGAATGCCCTCGGGAGGACTCGCTGGCAAAGGTGACCACCCCTCCCCCCCCAAGGTGTAGAATTCGATCAGTAGAATTAGGGCTGCTGCTGCGAGGACTCTAAAAGGGATCTTTGTAGAACCCACTCAAGGCGATCCTTAAGTAGCAAATGTCACAAAAGATGGCTCTAAACATTATTTGCGAGACTTCCCTGGTGGCACAGTGGTTAAGAATCCGCCTGCCAATGTGGGTGACAGGGGTTCGAGCCCTGGCCAGGAAGATCCCACATGCCGCGGAGCAGCTAAGCCCGTGCACCACAACTACTGAGCCTGTGCTCTAGAGCCCACAAGCCACAACTACTGAACCCGTGAGCCACAACTACTGAGCCCGTGAGCCACAACTACTGAGACCGTGCTCTCGAGCCCGCGAGCCACAACTACTGAGCCTGCGAGCCACAATTACTAAAGCCTGTGCGCCTAGAGCCCATGCTCCGCAACGAGAAAAGCCACTGCGATGAGAAGCCCACGCACCGCAACGAAGAGTAGCCCCCGCTCGCTGCAACTAGAGAAAGCCCACGCACAGCAACAAAGGGCCGATGCAGCCAAAATAATAATAAATAAATAAACAAACGTTATTTGGAAAAATAAAAGGACAAAAAATGAAAGCATATTTGGGGGAAACAGATTTGAATACATGAAAACCCCACAGACATGGGAGGGTCCCATCTCTGCATCTCCGCAGCTCAGGGAGCAGAAATGGGACCAGACGGCTGCTTCAGGCATTTGTTACACTGATGTGGACTGTGTGTGTGTTCATGCAGAATTAAGGACCCAAACTGTGTGTGACAAGAGGGAGCCGGCATATGGAAGAGGGATACTTAGAGACGACAGAAATGTCACAGTGCTTGAAAGTGTGTGTGAGCATGCAAGTGTGTACGTGCGGGTGTGCGAGTGGGCACGTGTGCTCCAGGTGCACCCACAGGATTGGGGCCAGATCAGGTGAGACCCTTCATGCCACACTAGGAGGTTGGAACTTCTCCTGTGATTAATGGAGAGTTTTCTGCCAGTTTTCAAAGATCTATGTCCAAAAAGTACCCAGTCTTGGTAATGGGAATATTTCTCACACTCTGTGTGTCTTTGAACATTTTTACATAAGCCCCCTGGAGACCTTGGGCGAGTCTAATTGCAGCGGGTGGAGCCCCCTGTGCAGAGGCGAACTCCCCACATGGGGCTCAGTTCTGCAGAGCAAATTCGTTGAGAGGATGCTTCAAAAAGGGCACCTGATCAGCGGCCCCCAGGGCAGCCCCGCCCCGCCCCGCTGAGATAGCTGAGGAGACAGCGCGCAGCGGGGAGGGGCCCAGCACCACAGGACCAGCCGTGGCCCCCTTGGGGAGGAGGACGGGCCTTGCAGAACCCGACGGGATCCTGTTGAGGAGAAGCTCCACCTCCCAGGGGTTGAGCAGATCCAAGCAGCACCTACTGTGTGCCAGGCTCTGGGCTGGGCACTGAGGCACCACGGGGAGAAACGCAAGACATGCTCTTTGCAAAACTGTGGCCGAGCGCTGGGGTCACCGAGAAAACTACTGAAGTCTGTTAGACCACAGGTATGGGCACCACGGATGCACACGGGCTTCCCCCACGCTCGCGGAAGGGACCAGCGAGAAGCAGAAATTTAGAAGGTCCCAGCCCGGTCTCCCCCCGAGCCGGACACTGTACCTGAGTCTTTCAATGCAGCGGTCCAAGCTGTCGGTCACTTCCATCAGCCAGCCTTGCTTGTGGCGTTTCATGAGGGCCGCCCCATCCACCTGGGACCACGAGGCACGGGTGTAGATCACCCCCTTTCCCAACAGAGCCAGGCAGACCCTACGAGCTGCTGTCAGTACTGACTCCCCCTCCTGCCTCGCATCAGCAAACCTGGATTTCGCTTAGGGTGACGCTATGCTCGGCCCCAGGGGATGAATCACATCCTACCTAATCACAACTGCCCTCCCACCGCTTCCAGCCTCCCTGGCGGATGAGAACGCCCGTTTGATCCCATACTGACTGCTGAAGTAAAAGAAGCAGTTTCTAAGGCGTTATTTTCCTGCTAAAATGGAGTCAGCCACAGCCGGCACTTCCCCTGTGCCCTGCCTTGGATGTAGATGTGATGGCTGGGGCTGGGCAGCCACTGTGTGTGCACAAGGAAGCCCAAGAGAAGCTGGAGATGTTGACCCTGACGTGGAGCTGCTGAGCCAACGCCAGCCCTGCTGGCTATGTGAGAAAAGTAAAACCCTCTGTGTCAGCTGCTCTCGTCGGATTTTCCATCACCTGCAGCCAGGTGGGCTCCTAACAAGTACACCTGTGCGTGTCACAGGCTTACTGTCAGCCACGTGCGGATCCCACGGGCGCGTGCCCCCATGCTTTCCTCCCGGCTGCCCCTTCTCTTCCGCTCCCTGCCCCTCTTCCTGCCGGAGGAACTCAGAGCCAGAGGGAAGGTTCCTGCGCTCTCCCCGGCTCTCCCCCACCGACCGACCGACCGCTCTGTCCAATATGGGGGAGCCTGGCTCACTTATTCACAGGCTGTACTCCAGGGCCCCAGGGCAAGGGAAGCCAGGCCTCAGGGGGGCAGTTTCACGGCAGAGTGTAGGCAGGCACTGGCCCTGGCAGGTGACGGGCACTTGGAAGGCAGGGGCGTTCGCTGCCCTGGGGACCCAGGCTGGGAGGCTTGGGGGGTGAGGGCGAGAAAAGAGGGGGCAGGCGGGGGTGGGGGGCTCTGGAGGGGGGGCAGGGAGGCGCTCCCGCCAGCTCACCTCTGCAATCACGCCGACGCAGCCCACGATGACAGCGGCTTTGGCCTGAGCCCCACTCATTCCGCCGAGCCCGGAGGTGACAAAGACCTTCCCGGCCAGGTCCTGGACGCCCAGGTACCGCCGCCCGGCATTCAGCACGGTGAGCTGCAGGGCGAGGACTCGGGTTCACGATCCACGCCAGCTTGTCCACCCCCAGGCCCGTGGGCGGGCGTGGCCCGTCTCTCACCACTGTGCCGTGGACGATGCCCTGGGGACCAATGTAGCAGTAACTGCCCGCTGTCATCTGGCCGTACCTGCCCAGAGGGGGAAGCGGGGTGAGCCGGTGCCTGGCGCCCCACTTCACAGGGCCTGAAACGCACTGTCATCACCCCACGTGCAGCACTACCTTCTCCTTCAGAGACAAAAGAAAGCTGTAGAAAAGGCCACGGTCCCCCATTTCTGGTCCCCCTCAGACCTTTCATTCCCCCTCAGACAGGTTTCATTCTCTTAAAAACTGCAGTAAGATCACCGGGGAACATTTAGCCACGTGGACAAGAGCTGGCGTGACCCGGCACCTCCGGGGAGGACGAGTCACCAGCCTTCCTGTGGTGGTCAAACCCGGGGGAGCTGAGCCGCTCCTGCAGGAGGAGACCCGGGGCCGGGGGGACACGGAGCGGAAGGGGCCGCGGCCTCCTGGCAACACCCCGAATCCGGACAGCCTGCGGGATTCTGGTCCCGGGATGTGCAGATGCCCTCACGGGCGGGGAGGGGAGCTCTGCCACCTGTCAGCGGACACCGAGACTCGCGTGTGGCACGCAGGGCAGAGGCCAGCAAGCGGCGTTAGTGCTGTGTGGGCGACCATTGCTATTTGCATAAATGGCCTTGTTCTGTAGGCACTGTTTCTGGGTCTGTGTTCCCCCCACACAAGGCCTGTACGGGCCCTTGCACGTCAGCACCCGCAGACCTTCCGTGGCTCCACGGTCAACCCCATTGGGGGCACAGGATGTCCCCTCTCCCTGTCGGTCAGCCGGGTGGCTCAGCTGGGCCACAGGACAAGGCCGCGGTAAGCGACCTCCCTGGCCCTGCCGTGCCCTCCAGGGTAGAATCCAGGAACGGGGTGCCAGGGCACCGCGCAAACATTTAAAACACTAATAGCCAGCGTCACACGCCAGAGGGACTCACCAGCAGGGCACCGGCACTCCTGTTTGCATCCTATGACACTTATCCAACAGTTGAGTTTTTGGCAATGTGATGGGAAATTTTGCTGTTGCCTTAGATTTACTCTTCCCTGAGGACCACTGAGGTCAGGAGACCCTCGAGGCTGCTGTCCCCCAGCCACTTTCTGGACCTTCTCTGCTCTGGGTCAGGGTGGATCCTGATTCTCGCAGATCTGAACGCCAAGCCTGTCCCATAACTGGGACAAAGCACTGGACCATGTAGAACCTCTGCTTCCTCCTCCAAAAAATGGGGAGTCATGACCTGTGCCTTGCGTGTTTGTGTGACTATGACAGGATGTAAGAGAGTCATGCTGATACGATAGACATCTACCAGGGAGGCGGGTGAAAGCATCAGACCCCGCCGCAGGGCGTGCTCCCTGGTGGCCGCCACCCATGGCGCCTTTACAGGTAGGATCCGAGTTCCCAGGTGGCCCAGGGACACGCGGCAGGGCTGGGAAGCGATTCGGAGGCCTTCTGATTCCATCCCTTGTCGCACCTGATCCACTGCTGCTGCTCCTGCAGTTCACTCTCGGGGGTAAAATCATGGGGTCAGAGTTGTCTCCATCTGGGGCTTTGACCGCAGTCACTGGATGTGGCCCTCCCGCACCCCAGCCTTGCCGTACAGACCCTGACACCCCAGCCTGTGGCTGCCTGTTCCCCCACGTACCCCCACCACGGAGGGGACCAGTTCCACTTTTGTCAGCCTGCTGGTGAAAAGGTTTGCCCTGGTCAGCGGTTCTCAGATTCCTTATCCAGGCAACCCCTTCCCACCTCTGTGGTGATTTGCATCTTCTCTTTGGTCAACGGCTCGCGGCGCCTGGGGTCAGCACTCAGGGGCAGCCAGACCAGGTCTGGCTCTGCAGCTCTGCCCCTTTAAACTTCCCTCCTGAGCCCACAGGACAGCAGCACAGGGGCTGGTCCATGGCCACACTCAGGACCCGACCAGACACCGACCGTCCCTCTGCTCCCACTGGTACAGAAGAGGTCGTCAGGCCTCATAACAAATAACAGTAACAGCAACTTATTATATAATGACAGTAACTACTTATGACGAAGGACAAAGGTAATTGGGTTTCTGAGCCTCAGTTTCTTCCTCCGCAAAATGGGTTAATAAGGGCCCCTAGCTCGGAGGCTTCTGTAAATCCTAGAACAAGTGGCGGCGACCATGATTACAATCATTCATAGGCTCTCAGCCTGAGGCCCAGCGGGGTGGTTAGGACGCCAGCGCCCCGCTCCCAGAGACCCACAAGCACGTGCAGATCAGGGCTGTCCTGTCACATTCTTTACATCCCCAGAACACTGGGAACAACCCAAACCAGGTGGCAAGTGAGCTGAATAAATAACAGCGCAACTGAGCACTGCCGGTGAAACCCAGCAAGTCAGCCCGAATCCCGAGGAGGGGTCAGGTGCGGAGGGCGTGGCCCCTGGCTGTCGAGTCACCCCCGCCGAGCGTCCGCACACACACGGGATGTCGGGCAGGACACAGGAGACGCTGGGAATTGGGGCGTCCGGGCGGGAGGAGGTTCCCTTCTCGCTGTGGCTCCTTCTACAACGTCTGGGGGAACACCTCCCATTGGAGCGTTAATGTGACAGCGCGCTCAGGGGCTGCACAGACACACGTGTCCTCAGAGCTCACAGAACGGAGCACGTGACGTGTGCGTTTGCGCATTCGTGACATGTAAATTTCACTTCAAGACCAAGAAAACTGGGGGGACTTCCCTGGCGGTCCAGTGGCTAAGACTCCATGCTCCCGATGCAGGGGTCCCAGTTGGATCCCTGGTCAGGGAACTAGATCCCACACGCATGCCACAACTAAGAAGCCCGCATGCTGCCACTAAGAAAGTCTTCATACTGCAACTAAAGGTCCCACATGCTGCAACTAAGACCCAACACAGCCAAATAAATAAATAAACATTAAAAAAAGAAAAAAAATGATGGACAAATACTGAATTCCAGGCAACAATATCTGCAGCTTACTCTGAGACGCATCAAAAAAATGATCGTGGATATAGGGATGCGAAGACACACAGATAGGAGCTCACGTGAGTTTAGTAGCATATTAATCACAGAATCTTGGTGTTCCCTATTAATCCTGTCCATTTTCTGTATGTTTGAAACCGATAGTAATTGTTGCAAAAGTAGGATTCAAATTGTAGGTTCACTTGCTCACACCTGTATGAAAACTGTAGGCATAGCTATGAAAACTAGCAGAAAATACATAAATGCGAAACCGTGCTGTAGAGCTTTGACTGCGAGGGCTTTGCAAAGTTGTAGTTACTGTTGCTGCGTTGCTTCATAATAAAGCCTGGCGAAGGCCGTAACATAAGCTGAAACAGTACTTACATGGTAACCCCCATGGCAAAGAGCTTCTCGTACTCCATCCTGGAGGAGTAGTTGGGAATGACCTGCACAAGAGGGCTGGGCTGAGGGCTGGGGGCAGCGCCGTGCCCTTGGGGACGATGGCTCGGCGGGTGTGCGGGCACCTGGCCCTCCCCGCTGCCCTGGGACCCACCATCCCGTTGGTGATGACCAGCCTCGGGGCCCCGGGGCTGCTGGGGAAGAGGCCCAGGGGGTGTCCGCTATACATGACCAGCGTCTGCTCCTCTGTCATCTGGGACAAGTAGGACATGGTCAGCCAGAACTGCGGGGAGAGCGAAACATGGGGGCTCTGTGAGCGGGGGCCCTGCACCAGCCCCAAGCCCCCCCCCACCCAGGCCCTAGCCGTCCTGCCCGGAGCCCTCTACCCTCCAGTGGCTCTCCCTCAGGACCTCCGACGTCCCCAAGTAGCCTCCAGGGCTGGGATCTCAGGCATCGGGGAGGCAGAGCCCGAGTCCTGAGCCTGGTCTGTAACGTGCTTCCAGGCCAGAGAACGTGGGGGAAGAAAGGCCTGGGGTCAGGGCGGGGCCAGGCCACACAGTCCAGCGTACCTGAGCCCAGTTGCTGAACACCTGCCCGTTTCCTCCGTAGGTCACGAGCTCCTGGGGAAACTGGGGAGGACACGATGCTGTCTGAGATGGGGGCCTGGAAGGGAGGCCCCTGCCTGCGCCGGGCTCAGGGGCCAGGTGGCCGATGGCCCCCGAAGGACGAGTGGGGGGCAGGGGAGGAGCCAGAAGGGGCAAGGCCCGGGGACAGTGGCCCACCCGTGACCGGGTAAGTGCTCAGCCTGGGGTGAGCGTCAGAGCTGGGTCTGAGGAAGCTTCCGCCACCACCTGGAGTGGTCACATCCTAGGACCCTTTCACCCTCCAGTAAAATACTCAGGGACCCCCGAAGCCTAACCTTCCTTGAATACGGGTGTCAGAGGTACGGACTGGCGCTCGAGGACGCCGGGAAGGGCACGTGCAGCCACTGAGCACTTGAGCCACAGCCCGTCTGACAAGCTCTAGGGGCAAAATACACCCCTGGTTTCAAAGACTCGGTAGGAGAAAACACTACAGAATATTTACGTTGATGGTCACATGTTAAATGATAATATTTTGCATATATTGGGACAAACTACAGTATTAAATCTGTTTCTTTTCAGTCTGCATGTGGCTATCAGAAAATGTAAAATAACACGTGTGTCTGTTGTACCAACTCTGGTGTCATGGTGCTGATGCTGCACCGTAGTTACCGAAGATGCAGCTGCTGGGGGCACCCTGGAGAAGGGGATGATGTCCGCTCTGCACGGTCTTCGCGATTTCCCTCAAATCTATCATTATTTCTAAATAAAAAGCTTGAGAGCATTTCATGAGCTTCTCCCATTCCGTTTCCACTGCTGGTCCCTGGCCCCCGTCTCCTGGCCCTTACCTGGGCCACGGCAGGGTCCAGGTTGTTCATGATCATGTGCATGATAGCTGCAGCCGCTCTCGTCCGGCAGGGGTACTGCTCCACTGGGTAGGCCCTGCAAAGGGGGCGCAGCTGCCAGGCCTGACGATGGGCGGGCACAGGCTTCCTTCCTGCTAAAGCTTGGGCCCAGCCTGGGCTGGGCGCAGAGGGGACAGCAAGCCCTGGCATCCCGCAGAAGGCGCCTTGGAACTCCCAGCAGGAGGTGCTTCCAAACGCCCTCCTGCTTTGTGCCGGGCCCCTCCCGCCCAGGCCGCCCTCCATCCCCAGTGGGCAGGCTCCGACTGGGATAAAACGGACTGCAAAGCAAAGCTGAGGCCCCTCCTGCAGGTGGACTCGATTCATCCGTCCTTTCCTTCGGCCATCAGCGCTCCTGGGCACGCATTCTGCAGTGGGCGCCAGGCCAGCAGCCCCAGACAGGAGCGAGGGCAGGTGGCTCCCGCTTTGCGGGGTCATTCCCGACAGTCTGCGCTTCCGGCATTTCCAAGAACAATGGTGCTCAGAGTGTGATGCCCGGGCAGGGGCAGCATCTCCTGGGGACGGTGAGGAAGGCAGATCCTCCTGCCAGGACCTGGCAGCAGCCCCAAGCCTGGCCCAGGGCAGACGCGTCCATGGGCCTCCTAGTGGGAACAGCCTGGACCTCCCCCTCACTGTGTCCTGACCCCCAGCAGGGTCCCTCCAGGGAGCCTCCCACTCTGGGCCCCTGTGAATCTGTGGCCCAGCACTCACTTCATTTCAATGTCGGGGCAGAAGCGGTACATGTAGATGTGCCCATACAGTCGCAGCTCCTGGGCGAACTCGGGGGCCAGCAGCTCCTGGGTGTCCGGGGGGAAGTACCGAAGGGCATTCCTCAGCGCCAGCTGGGGGTGGGGGAAGGGGAGAGGGGTGAGGATGGCGGGGGTGCGGGCTCCAGGCCAAGATCTCCCCACCTGGATTTGCCTCTGTTCCACTCAGAAACCCAGGGCCCTGTCCGGAGACTGCCTGGTTCTCACCCCGGGCCAGCCTACCGTGATGCCTCCTGCAGGAAGCCTTCCCTGACTGCCCTTCCTGCTTCCCTCAGCAGCCCTCGAGTCCCTCCCTCTTCTTGCTCACCGGGGGACCAGGCTGCTTGACCCAAGGCAAGGACCAGAGAGGGGCTGCCCCAAGGCCCGTGGCTACAGCGGCAGGTGCAAACTCGGGGGGGGGGGGGGGGGGGGGGAGGGCAGGCTGACAAGCCGGGCCCAGAGGCTCTCTGTGCAAGTGCGGAGCAGCACCCAGTGTGGCCAGTAGCCTCGGGCGGCACACTTGGAGGCCCGGGGCAGTGCCTGGAGCCGGCGACAGGCGCCCAAGAGCAGGAAGAAGCGTCTAAGGCTTCTCATCGCACACCGTGGAGAGCAGCGCAACTCCTGCCCCCGTCAGCCTTCTCCAGACGGCCCTCGTGCTCCTGTCCGGCCCCTTCCCTTCCTGCTGCCCCAGCCCCCGTGCCAGCTGCCTCCCTGGGAGCCCCCTCCTCGAAGCCCCAGTCCAGGCGCCCGTCCTTGGGGGTCCGCCTTGACCGTGCGGTCTTGACTCTCAGCACCTCCACGCTTCTCTCCCACAGGCTCTGCGTCTTCGGACGCTTCGCCATTGGCTCCTTGCCTCCCATCAGTCTCGCTGAGCTCAAGCAGGGCCAGGGTCCTGGCGGACCCTTCACAGCGCTCCCCCTCCCACCACCCAGCAGGAGCCTGCGGCTGGGGGCGCGGGGTGACGACCCTGTGTTGGGGTGGACGTCGAGGCCACGCCTTCAACCAGCTGACCCTGGAGAACAAACTGCTCTGGGGGCGTGACGAGGGCCTGGTGTGAATGCATTCATTCGACACACATCCACCGAGGGGGAGGCAGTGTGAGCCTCAGAGAAGACGGGTGGGCAGAGGTGACGGGAGAAGAGCCTACGGCCCCGGCCTGGGCCCTGAGGACACCAGCACGTGGGCAGGCAGGGCGCAGGGCCAGCCCGGGAGACAGAGAGCCGGGACCCGGCCAGGAGGACGGCCTGCCCCGTGCGCCCTGAGGTCCAGCACCGCGCGACAAGGGTGTCACTGGGGGCCTGGGGGCACGTGGGGTGGGAGGAGAGAGGAGGGGGAGGGCGGTTCAGGAGGAAGCCGAGGGCAAGAAGGGCAACGAGGGAAACTCCAGCTCAGGAGTGACGGGGACTTGACAGGGTTTGCACAGCGGGTCCCCCTCTAAGGTCCACGTGGAATAAAGCACGTAATTCCTGCTCTCTTGGAAAAATCGAAAGGTGGCTAGAAATACGTCCACAGGCGGTGCTCAGACTCCAGCGGACTTGAGAATCACGCAGAGGGTCAGGTGCATCGGAGGGCTGGGCCCGCCCGCAGCGTCTCTGACTCACGTTTCTGACGGGATCCCAGCTGCTGCCGCTGGTCCGGGACCCCCGGGGAGGCACGAGCGAGCCGCGCGCAGCAGCAGGGCGGGAGGGGAAGAGGCCGGCGTGGGGAGGGCATGCTGCAGAAGGCCAGGGACACGGCTTCAAGGGCAGGCAGGGCTAGGCGTGCGCCAGAGCTCAGGAGGGCTGGGCCCTTCAGGGTCATGCCCGTTGCCTCGGCCTGGGCCTCTGGGGTCCAGGTTACACCTCGACGCAGAGGTTGGGTGGTTTTTTCTATCAGTGTACAGCTTCCAATCAGAGCTCGCCAAGAGAAACTGAACATTTACAGAAAAGTTTCAAAAGCAACGTGTCACACACACACGCTCCACGGGACGCGTGACCTTACTACACGGGCCCTAATACATCCTACCCCGAATACTGGTTCCGACCCCCTAAGCCCCCTTCCCAGCTGCTGGGCTATTGCTCCCTGTGGACAATTTCCATCTCAGGATTTGCTGAATTTCTCTTTCTCCCTGAAATTCAGAAAACTAGCCTGGATATGTCTTCACGTGGACTATTGTACGTTGGGGTTTCTTTTGGTTCTTTCAACGATAAACTGTCTTTGTATCTGAAATTTCACATTTCTACTAGTTCAGCAAAGTTGTCTTCTGTTACACTTTTGTTCAATAGCTTTATCTTCTGTGTCTGAATTTACGTAACAGGCCTGCAGTGACTATTTCTTGAGTGAAAAAATTAAAGCAGCAGCTCTGCTGGCCTGGATTCAATACCCCAAGCTCTGAATGGGGGCAGTTCTCGGGGTCAGGACGAGAAAATGCAACTCGGACAGGCGTGTGACCTGCCCCCCGGGGGGATGAGGGGCAGCCTCAGCAGAGGAGGCCCCATGAGGACAGGCCAGGTGGAGAGGCGGGACGGTTTCCCAATGAGCTCGGAAAGGCAGGCACAGCTGCCTCCCGGGCCCTGCTAAGCACCGGCTGGACCAGCCCGGGAGGCCGCCCGTCTGTTTCTGCATCTCTCGGGGCGCCAGCTTGGCCGTGTTGCTGGAAGGACTAATGAGATAACACGCACGGCCCAGCACACAGTGCAGCGCCGCGCCCTCCTGTTCCTGTAAAGACACCCAAGCCAGAGCCGGGGGCATTTCTTGCTTCTCCCCCTCCCCAGCTTTGCAGCTTCCTTGTTAAAAAGTCTTCAGTTTACTTCAAATGCTGCCAGGAAGAGCCCGTGGGGGCCATACTTGGGGATTCACCCCCGGGGTCAGCTGGCGCTCATGCCGCACTGCTTCCACCTCAGCTCCACGGCAAGTCTGCCCCGGAGGGTCTGCTGTGTAGCACGTGGAATTTCACAGGTGAGATTGTGGCCTGTTAATCACAGAATGCAGTTACCAGTGGGCTCTTACTGGCAAAATCAGAAGCATCTAACGCACATAAACTGGACAGAATTCCAGAGACCTCCATCTCCCCGACCTTGACCTCAAAGGCATAAGAAGCGGACAAGCTCAGTGGCCTGTACCCTTAGGGTCATGGTATTATTTCATAGAAGTCCCGTGTTCAGCCACTGGGCTGGAAAATTCTGGGTGCCTGATGGGATGGGGGACAGAATTATGGCCCCCAACGATGTCCACACCCTATTCCCCGGGAATATGTCACGTTACATGGCGAAAGAGACTTTGCAGATGTGATGACGGAAGGATTTTGAGATGTGAGATGACCCTGCCTCTCCAGGTCAGCCCTAGGAATCACGAGCGTCCTTCTGAGAGGAGAGGGAGGCTCAGAGCAAGAAAGAGGGACTTCAATGTGCTGTGCTGCCAGCTTTGAGGACAGAGGATGGGCCCAGGAGCCCGGGAACGCAGGCGCCTCTGGAGGCTGGAAAATGACGCGGCAGGGCTGGTGCTCCAGGAGGCTCTGAGGGGAGAATCCCTGCCCTGTCTCTTCCAGCCAGCACACCTCACCTCTCTGAACGTCAGCCTCCTGTTCTGTAAAAGGAACAGATGGCCCCCACCTCACAGGGCTGCTCACCCGGCACCTGGCACACACGGGCCACTGGGGGGCCAGCTGCCAGGACGACCGTCTGCACACTCGTGGCCTCCACGCCGGGCCCCTGTCCACCTGCCCCCCTAGGAGCTCTGCACCAGCCCTCGCTCTCTGTGGGCACATGCCAAGCAGCAGCTCACACTCCGGCTCTGAGACCTTCATGGGCTTCTGACACAGGGCACACTGGTGGGCATCCAGGCCCCCCAGTAGTCAGGCTGGGCCTGGCTCTTGAGGTCGGCACCCAGCCTGGGCCTACGCGGGGCCTCGTCCAGCCCAGCCTACTTTGCACAGGCGCGTCTCTGCATCTCCACTCACCGCCTCCTTCTGTCCCAGATGCCTCGCCTCTCAGATCTCCAAGTCTGGGAACCTTGCCTCTGGTGCCAAGACCACCTCCTCCAAGAAGCTTTCCTAGGTTTCTCCTGCCCGCTGAACTTTTAGAGGGTGTTGGTTCGGGCGCTTAGCACATGGTCTTGTTCACTCATTCAACAAACAGCTCTGGCATCACTGAAGACCCAGAAGTGAGCCCCACAGAACCCCACCCTCAAGAAGCTGAGGAGTATGGTCAGCAGTGGTGGGAGGTCTTCAGACGTGGCAGCTCAGGTCCAGCACAGCCCCTGAGGGTGGGGCACGCTTTGGGGAAATATCGGTAAGAGAAGCTGCACGTGGGGGAGCGGGGATGCCGAGGACGTTTCTAACAGGATGTGACGAGACCCTCCCTCTGCACTACAGTCCCACAGGGACTGAAACGCGACAGCCAGACCATCCTCTGCGTTTCAACAGAAATCCACTTAAAGAAGAACGAAGAGTGGAGCATGTCTTTGTTCATCCAAACCACGAAAAACAACAACAGTTCAAACCACGGGGCAGCTCCAAACGCACCCACAAGGAACAGCCTCAAAAGAAAGCTTCCACTTACGCTTTTAAGAAGGTGGACACACACACCTGTGCACACATAGAAAGTGTCTGGAAGGAGACACCAAAAGGTTAGGAAACGTTATAATATTTGACTTATCTCTTAAAACTACCTTTAAAAGCTTATGTCAAAATTCAAAGGGACGTTTAAATAAAACAGAAAACCAGCCAGAGGAAAACGTAAAGCCGGCCGCGGAGGAAGCCGTCCCTGGGGCTGGGCCTGTCCAGGAGGCGCTCTCGTGTCCTCTCGCAGGTCCCGGCAGGAAGTGGACGCGTGGGCCCTCCAACACCCACCGCTCCTCCGACCCGGATGGCGTCCTACACTTCAGTCCAGCCGGGACCCTGTGGACCGCAGTCCGCCCAGAGCCCGCCCACAGGCTAAGGGCTCAGCCCCACGACGGCCCGCTTCAGACGCCAATTACACGCCCCACTGTCGCCTGTGCTCCTGACCAACCAGCTAGGAATGGGGAGCCCACGCCCCTCCTCAGGTTTAAAAATTCGCCAGAATGGCTCACAGAACTCAGGGGAACACGTTCGCCGGTTCATTACACAACAAAGGATGTGACGAAGGGTACAGGTGAGCAGCAACCCTCGGCGGGGGCGGGGGAAGGGGCCGGCGCCCGCCGCACCTCCACGTGTTCACAAACCCAGACACTGCCAACCCCGTAGCTGGGGGATCTGGTAGGCGTGGGCATGATGTATCATTAACTCCATTCCCGGCCCCTCACGGTGACATGCGACCACGGCTTGGTCTCTCTGGTGACCAGCCCCGACCAGGAACCCCGGAGTGGCCTCCTACCGCCCAGGGAATTGCAGCAGAACCCGGGTCAAAGACCAAAGAGCAGCAGGAAGGGGGAGGGGCACAGAGCCATACGCCTCTTTCTCCTTGTCCCCCAGGACCAGCAGGCTGCAGGCTCCCCACGCCTCGGACACCCACACCGAAGATTCAGCCCCTTCCACAGCTCAGACTCCCCAGACCGCATGCCACCCCACTCCAAGGGCCCGCGCCCTTCAGCTGCTCCCATCACCGCCCATCAGGGTGTCCCCTGGGATGCGCAGGCGGCAGAGCCCTCTGGGTCCCCACGCCAAAGGTCGAGGCATTGGCGCCCAGCAGGAAGGTGACCAGGGTGGAAACTCTAAAGTCCGCCTGATCCCCCGGCAGCCCCTCCAGTTTGCACGCCCTGTGCCCCCCCTCCCACGGCCGCCCCGGGAGGGCGGCAGCCTCTGTCCGGGTGGCGGGACTCCTCTTTTAATCTCTGCGCTTACTTGTACTTGCTACTTTCCCCCAGGGTTCCTGAGGTTGTCAAGCCATCCTCAGTAAAGGAAAACAGGAGAAAGCTCTTTTTCGGCCTCATTCCAGCCGCCTGCGCACACCTGTGTGTCATGGCCAGGAGGGGGGCACCTGGTGGCTCACGCTCCGGAAGCTGGGGCGGGACTTGCAGTCCGGCTCCTGCGCTCACTTCGCCTTCCTGGGCTGGAGGCGGCCACAGGCCCCCGCTTGCTGGCTGGGTGATCGTGAGCCCCAGGGTCCCTCCCCATCAGTAAATGGGGGCCGGACTCCTACCCCCCAGGGCGGCCACTGGGCAAAGAATGAGGGATATCGGGTGTGAAGCAGTCTGGCACACACGGCTCAGAGCAGGACGTGGGCACTGCCCAGCCGGTCCACCCAGAGGGCAAACGGCCCTGCAGGAGGGGGCCCGGCCTCTTACCTGCTCCTCAGCGGGGCTGAGGCCGGGGGTCCTGACCGGGGCGTGGGGCAGCCCGGCCCGGCGTCCCCGGTTCTCTGGGAGAGGCCGCAAGGGCAGGCCGGAGCACAGCGCCTGGAGGCTGGACATGTCTGGCGGACGCGAGGCGGAGGCCCACTGCGGGGGCCGCGGAGGGACCGGGCAGTCGAGGTCCGGCTGGGCGGGGTCCTCTGGCTCCAGGCCCACCCCCTCCAGCCCCTCATTGGCCCCCGGGCCTCCGGAAGGAGCCGTGCGCAGGTCGGAGGTCGGAGGGTCACGGCCCCAGGCTGGCGCCCGCAGTGTTGACCTGGGGGCGGTGCCCTGGGACAGGCAGGCTCCGTGCCAGGGACGCCTGGGTGAGGGTTCCTTTGTCCTTTTCGTGGGGTGCTGGCCCTGAGGGGTGTGTCTTCTAGGACACGGCATGGGGAGCGCTCTCGCGTTCGGGTTTGTCTCATGGGGGAGTTACACCCGGCAGGTGACGTGGGGTCTGTGTCTTGATGATGGGGGGCCCGGCACAGAGTGTGGTGGCCCTCGTATCCCTCCTCCCTGCCCCCTGGGTGACGGGTGGCGGGAGCCCGGCCAGCGGCAGCTACGCCCTCCTCCGCCCCCACCGAGGTGCGGGCCGCCCCACGCCTTCCCAGGCTCTCAGCGAGCCCCATCCCACGAGCGCCCCTGTGGGAAGGTGCTGCTTCTTCGCCCCGCACTCCGGGTGGGGTGGCAGAGGCCCAGGGGCCGCTAGAATCCCGGGGGCCCGGGGAGGCAGCACACCTGGCTGTGGACGCAGCTCAGCTGCGGGCCGGCCCTGCGGCCCCACGCAAGGGGTGGGAGGCACGCAGCCACCAGGTGGGTGCCCGGCGTGGGGCCTGCACTGGGCACGAGAGCAGGACGGCTGACGCCTCCGGACGGTTACTCCTCGGAGCACCGCACGTCATCCGGGGCACCCTGTGCCCTCACTGGCCTGCGGGGCCCACTGTCCCGTTTCATAGGTGTGGAAACTGCCCAAGGCCACACAACTAGTCCTGGTGGAGCTGGGATCTGGGGCCCTGGAGCCGAGGGGTCTGGCTCCAGCCGCCCCTCGGCCTCCCAGATCTCGGGCCGGGCAGCGAGCGTACTCTTGTGTCCACGTGGCGGGAAGGCTGCCTCATAGGGTGAGCAGCAGAAACGCACGCAGGCTCACAGCCGTCCATCCAACGCTCTCTCCAACACCAGGGACCGGGCGGGGTCCTGGCCCGGCACCGCTACGGGCACTGGGGACAGGCCCCTGCCTGGGCCTGCAGGTCACGCAGCTGTGACCACCAGCAGCCGGTACCTGCACCTCCCGCTCAGAGGGGGGTTGGAAGGGCTGGAGAATCGCCAGCCCCCTCCCCATCTGCTGGGGAGCAGCTCTCCGCCAGCAACAGCGGTGGGCAGATACCCCAGCGCCCTCGCCGCGGCAGGGCATGGGTGGAGGCAGCAGCTCTGGGGAGCCCCTGGCAGGAGTGGGCTGAGCTGCCCCGCGGGTATCCCCATCCCATGCCCCCAACGGACAGGCTGTACCGAGACCTCCACTCAGGATTTGCTTCTGGGCGAGGCCTGAAGAGAAGCCACAAATCTAACACTTTTTGTGAAAGCTCATTTTTAAATGTTTGCAACCAATTAAAAACATTTTCCGCTGTCCTGAACCGAAGGGGGGACTGTATCCGTGTCCTGGTTGTGACCTCGGGCTACAGACAGCAGGATGCTACCACGGGGGAACAGGGCACCCGGGTCTCTCTTACTATTTCTTACAACTGCACATGAATCTACAAGGATCCCCAAATAGTTTAATTTCTAAACACCCTAAAAGCTATTTAAAACCACTGGGATCTCACAGATGTTAAATATGGCAGACAGGTAAGTGGAACCTGGCTATACCACTCACGAGCTGTAGGTCCTTGGGTCAGTTCCTTAGCCTCTCTGTGCCTCAGTTTCCTGGTCTGTAAAATGAAACCAGTAACAGTAGCTACCTCATGGGATCTGAGTATTAAACGAGGTAACACACGTGAAGGTCTTAGAACAGCACCTGCGCAGAATCAGCACCGGATAAGATGTTATTTTTCTCGTTACCACTATCAAAAAAGCAAGGAACAGAGCAATGTAATAGCACAGAAAGCAAAGAAAACGTATACACGTGGGCATGAACTGTCTCTGAAGGATCCACAAGGAACTGGGAGAGAACAGGAGGAAAGGAGACCCTTCCATGTAAGACTGGTGCTTTCCACATCATCAGGGCACTAAACTGTACACTTTTCAATGAGTAATTTTATGGTACCTGAATTTCACCTCAATTCAAGAGAACTGTGGAGTTTTTGAATTTGGCTCCATGGACAAACCAAATAAATAAAATGTAAAACTAACAAGGAGTAAAGAAAGGCAGGCATGGGCTTCCCTGGTGGCGCAGTGGTTGAGAGTCCGTCTGCCGATGCAGGGGACACGGGTTCGTGCCCCGGTCCGGGAAGATCCCACATGCCGCGGAGCGGCTGGGCCCGTGAGCCATGGCCGCTGAGCCTGCGCGTCCGGAGCCTGTGCTCCGCAACGGGAGAGGCCACAACAGTGAGAGGCCCGCATACCGCAAAAAAAAAAAAAAAAGGCAGGCAGGCCCTCAGCATGTGCCTCCCTGGGCCTCAGGCCTCGGGCTCCTGGTGCTGGCCGTGGCCTGTCCTCTTCAGCATCGAGTGCCTGCCTCAGTCTCCCCTCCCATCACTCCCAGCCGCTACTCCTGTCCTGGCCAGCCTCTCTTCCTAGCACCTGGCGACCAGCACCGAAAGCCCAGCCCTGCCCGCCTGGTACCACCACCCAGGCCACACTGGACCCCAATCTCTGCCGTGTCACCAGCAGGCCCATCAGGCCTTCTCGAGCCAGGCAGGACCTCTGTCCCTTGGACCATCAACCTAGTGCCTGCTTCCCCTCCAGCCACTCTGCCGCCCTGGGTGGCTTCTCTGAGGCACCCTGACCTCTGACCCCTCTACTTTCAAAGTATAGCCGGGGCCCTGAGACCACCGCACCCTGGTCCACACCCCTCACCTCTCCCAGAGTCGGCCCAGCCTCCCGCCTTCCCCCCCTCCTCCCGCCAACCTGTAGTCCATCGGTAGCGGGGCAGTTAGAACAGCCCACACCGTGGCCCACGACGGGATGGGGACGTGGACGCCCTATCTGCCTCTCCGACTTCTCCCATCCACCTTGTCCACCTCAGAGCCCCCCTGCTGCTTCCCGTTCAAGGAGCATGTGCATCTCTACGCCCTTGGTGCTTTTAAACATGCCGGCAAATCCTTGCTCGGGTGCTTCTCTGAATGAGGCTGGGGCGGCCCTAGCGGTTCCCGGGGAAGCAACAGGAGGCAGCCTGAGGCTCTGTGGGAGCAACCCCCGGAGCCAGACCCCACCTGGGGCGTGAGGAGTGCGAGTGCTGCGGCGTCTGCCCAGCTGTGACGGAGCCGTCGGGTCGGCCAGCCTGGGCCGGCCTCCAGACGACCAGTCCCAGCTGCCGTCTGACGCAGTAGCATGAGATCCCCAGTGAAAAGCGCCCACCGGAGCCCCTCCCCCAATTCCTCACCCACTAAATTGTGAGCGAAATTGAAACGTTTAACGCCTGAATGTGAGGGCAACAGCTACTAGCAGGCGCCTCAGGGCCTCCGCAAGGGCTGTTCCTTCCTCAGCTCGCCACCTACGCACCTCTGCTGCCGGTACCTCCGAGGCTGGCCCTGCACACCTCCCTCTGCCCCACCCTTATTTTCTTCATAGCACGTATGCCACCTGCCGTGATCGCACATGTTCGCCCCTTTTCCTATGCCCTCCCCCATCCATACTGTAGCCCACGAGGGCAGAGGGCGCCCTGTCCTGTTCTCCCCTAGGGCCTCAGCACCCAGTGGGTACCCAGTGCCTGTTGAACGAGGGATCGAATGCATGCGAACTCCCGTGAGAGGGCAGAGGCCGCAGCCGGCGTCTTCTCAGGGGAGCTGCCAAGGCCCTGGGCCTCTGGCGAGACGTGCTCACCCTCCCACCCCAGGACCCAACACTGGGCCCCCAGGGGCCTCCAGGGACTTTCCTGGATGGGAATGGGCTGAGATGTTGTCCTCAACTTCGGCCACCAGGTGGCAGCACAGGGACCGAGACTCCTTCCTAAAGACGCCAGGGGCTGGGACCCTACAGAGAACGCTGGTCCCAATGCGGGTGTAGGGGAGATTGGGGGCCGGCTGGGGGTGTAGATAACCGAGAATCCAGGCCCTGGGCCCAGAGCAGCAGCAGCCCTGCCCGCAGGCCATTCTGGGCGTGAACTGGATGCTCGCCAAGGCTCTCTGTCCTGTTTGTCTGGAAAGTCGTAATAAGGAGCTTCTGGTTTGTCTGTGAACTGTTTCCTGCCCCTCTGCCACTTGAGACCTATCATAGCATTTGGAGCCATAATCTTTAAGACAGCAGAACTATTATTTATTTAATATTCTCCTTTAAATAGACCTTTAAAACTTACACATACCGGGAACGAATTTTTATATCAGCATCTTAACAGAAACCAGAGTCACCTGCCAGAAACAGACAGTAACTGTAAAAATAAAATCATCACCAACGTCAAGTACTTAGATGGCACTCACTGAGTGCCAGACGCCGTGCCAAACACCTCCTGTGTCTCATTCAGTTCGCACAACATGATGAGGTGTGTCCTAGTACTACGCCACTGCAAAGGGAACTGGGGCACAGAGAGGTTAGGCCACTTTCTTGATCTCACACAGCACGTAAGTGGCACCACCAGGGTTGGAATCAGCAGATTCTTCAAAAGCAGTTCAGAAATGCAGCCTTTCCCACACACTCACACTGCTCAGCGTTAGCTCAAGCGCACACACCAGCACACACAGACCACCGTGTAAAAACAAGGCTACAGGGTGGGCTTGGGAGGAGAGAGACACCCTTGGGCCTGATTCCGGGAAGGGGGGTTCCGGGGGCGTCACGTATTGGCGGCTAGTGCCCCAAGCCAGCCCCTGGACCCCTGGTACGTAACGCAGCAAAAAGGCAACGGGACACCGTGCTCCCCCGGCCCGCTCATCCGCCAATGTGACAAGGCTTCTCGGCCTCGGGTAGAGGATGGCGCCCCCGGACGAGCGGAAGAGGACAGAGCCGCGCCAGCGACAGGGCTCCCTCCACCCAGTCTCCACCCTTCGCGCCCTG